GTGTTCAAAGTCTCAAAAAAAGGATAAAAATTTTGACAGAACCTTTTGAAGGTTCTGTCAAAATTTTTATCCTTTTTTTGAGACTTTGAACACATTTGGAGCATTTTGAAAATCTACAGAACCTTTTCGGAAGGTTCTTTAAACCTCCTTTGTTTTTTTCAGAGTAGTTGCTAGCTTCTGTAGCGGTAGCATACACTCGTTGCTAACGTCTGTAATAATAAAAATATACGATACCGTCGTAACTATGAGCTATTATAATAAAAACGACAGACTTTGATGATTAATTAAAGGTTAAATCCTAATTATAATGATTTATAATTAGTGAAACTAGATTTTTATTACTGATGTGAGTAGTGGTGAACATAGGCAATCGACCTGTACCAAAAAAGTTTCTAATTAGCGCATCTAAGTGTTAGTTTTTTATATTTTATGTCTGTAATGGGGAGGGGGATAGGTGGGATACAGAGGAGCCGCAAAAACCTAACAATTCAACTTACACTCACTATTTTCTTCAAAAATATATGTGAGTTCCACAAAAATTAATTTAACTGTAAACACTACCTCTTTTTTTCGAAAGATCTAATAATAAGTTCTGACAAAATATTTGCTTGATTCGTTTTTAGGCTTCTCAAAGGCGTGTGTATGGATTCTGAAAGCTTCAAAAAAGATATAGAATTTCATTACAGCACTTCTCGGTTTAATAATCATGCACTGATCTTGCTGGAGTACAGAAGTTGATTTTTTTTATACACTTTTAATGTCGTAAAATTTATCCAAAGTAAAAGCAAAAATACAGACAAGAATAGAGCTAACATTTTTTTAAATATAAATTATTAATTCACTGGAATTCATTACTCAGTAGTACATACTTCGATAAAGTAAGTACCCTCGACTCTTGATTTTCATATTATTTTGTCGAGAGGAATCTCATTCTATGCAAACAAAATCGGTAATATAGAGAGTGCATTAAAAGAAATGGCTGCTAAAAACAAATGAGTTTTCTTCGTTCAAACTGAACGTTTGTACTTCTAAAATGTTACTTGATCTCTTCTAGACCAGAAGTCTTACAAATAGTTCGAAGTCAGAGTTACAAAAAATATACAGCATTGTGATTGAAATTCAATGTTGTCAAATTCAAATTTTTGTAGTTTCTCTAAGAAGACTGAGACATGAGTTTACGTGGTGTCAAGTGAGGTAAATAGGAAACACTGCAAGTTAATTGTTGCTTGCTACAAAAAAAAATAACTAAATGAAATTGTGATATTCGAAAACAGTCTGCTTTTTTTATCTAAACTGTTGATTCTTAATAAAATTATAAATATTTACTTAGTTCTTTGTTCTGGTTCCAAATCTTGTTTCATTGTTAGGCCTCGATCAAAATCAGCGATTCTGTAACAAAAAAAGAATAATTCACTTGAATTCTTCGAATAGTATAGGAATCATACGTTAGAAAATCTTTCATATCAGCTTTGGCTTTTTGCGCTTCTAAATTCAATGCCATTGCTATATCAGCTAATTCTTTTTTGATTCGTGCTTCTTCGAGCTAGATGAAAGATCAAGAAAAAATAGTAGAGAAATGTTTACTTTGAAAATTCAAACCTCTCTTTGTTGAACTTTTTGTTCGAAGTCCAAATGAATTTGATGTAATTGCTGATGTTTTATTTGAAGTTCATGTGATTTTGTTCCATATTGTCGAGAAAGATCGTTACAAAGAAGTAAATTACGACGATCTTTATCTTTATTTGTTTGTAAGGAATCAATTAAACGATCGGTTCGTTGTTTTGTTTGCTAGTTAAAAGATAAATAACATTACAAATTTTCCGTTACGTAATTCAAAACAAATAATAGATACTGAATAAATCAATTCTAAATCTACATAATGATTGGATTATTGTTTGTCAGGATAGGTCAAACGATTTCTCTTTACCCTACTAGAATGACTTTTGTCAAGAGATCGACATATTCGACTCGATCGAATTACGCATGTGATTTGTGCCAATGTTTTTGACGAACATACTCTTGCATACTATTAATGATATATCGTTTTAAATTGTTATAAAACCTTATATGAATATAATTGAATACTCAGCGAGTATATAGAAAAATGTGCAAATAAAAAACCTTCAAATAAAAAGACCTTGAAACCTCTTTTTAGTGACAAAAATAGAATGTTTATTTAAAATTAACAATGATGGATAGAAGCCTACCTTTTCTCGTTTCTTAACGAATTCTCTTTCAATTTTATCTTTTTCTTCGAGATTCTTCGACAAACTCTTTTCAGCATAATAACGCTTTTTCGTTGTATCTATATTTGATTGATTAGAAACAAAGAACAAATCGATTGAAATATTGTTTATTATATACTAACCAACATCAAGGTCTCGAATTGCATGTTGCACATGTCGTTGTTCTTTTTTAATATCTCCTTCTAAGCGTTTTGCTTCTCGTTCTCGTTGTTTAGCTCTAATCATTTCTTCCTTAAATTGACAAAATCATAAAAGTTATCTTATTAAATCAATGAAATTTACTTCAACCAATTTCATTTGTTTGTCGTATTCTTTTTTTTTATTTTCAAGATTTACCAAATTAGATAATGCTGCAAGTTCATTTTCTTCAGGTGCTTTTATCTTTCTTGGTGTTGATCCAATGGGCGGTGCTGATAATGATGATTTATTAATAGAAGCCAATATACCACTTCTAGATGGCGATGATTGGAAATCTTCTTGTTGACGATGAAGCGAACGAATATTTCGAGATGCATCAACATAACCGCCTTTTGTCTTATAACGCCCATGCTTTCTAAAAGAAAATAATAAATGATTTTTTTCTTTGATGAAAATTAAACATTCTTGAATAAAACATTTTCTACCGTAAAAATTCAGCATAATTAACAAGATCATCATCATCATATGTGTATGCACTGGTTTCGGCAATTACTGCATACCGATTGTCGAGTAATGATGGACGAGCAAAGGCGGTCATTAATTAGCTATATGATATTTAAATCTCACTCAACTAGTTTAACTCGTCAAACATAGGAAAAGAACGAGAAGAAATTTTGCCATCGAAAATTTAAAAACCATTTTTTTAATTGTTTCCATGCCAATGTCATTCACAGGATCGTTTACATAAACAAAAACATGTACAGATGGCATTGGATGTTGAAATTTTTAAAACTAAATGCATGACTTTTACAGAATGAAAATAGCTATTCAGACTAATTAATGAAACTGACTCTTTTGTATTTTACTATTACAGATCTTAATCGAATTCATTATTCATATCAAAGACGTTTCAGATTCATTTGATTCTGTCCAATGATTAAAAGCCTTTGAAATGATCATTGTTGAATGTATTTCATTTGTATTCCGTTCGAAAGCTTACAACGCATGAATCCAACATTTTTCAAATAAGATAAATTTCTTATGGTTTTGTAAATACAGTACACATGAGTTGATTTCAATATGCTTCTCTAGCACTTTCCCACTATAACCTTCCAAAAGGTTACGTAAGATAAATACATTATTAACTTAAGTCAAATATTTATATAATCAGCGTTAATACCAATATGCTTGCGATCTTTTTAAGTTAAGCGGCATCATCAGTCTCTCAAGTCTTAAGCTACTTTATATTATCAGGTCCTATCTTCGAAGAAACTCATATTGGGCCATCAGAAAGTTTATATAGCAATAGGATGCTGCAAGAATCTTACTGCATGATAAATTATAAGATTTCTCAAACTATAGACTTTTTTTTGTGCAATGACTACTGATTGTTTTTTGCTGAGTACAGATACTCACAATATTTTATCTTTAAATAGCATGTCATGCGTTTCGAAGACTCGATATCGACGGAAAATGAATATTTTGTAATATCCGGAGTAATACTATGTTACACAGAAAGTTCCAAATGGCTCTCTGGCAAACGTGCCAATGTCAATTTAGTGTAGGAGAATTGTTGGATAATCCATGTGCATGATTGCAGGTAATGTTTGATACTAAGTTCTTGAGGACGAAAAACAAATGGGAGGTCACCCGTGAGCATTGCATCAATGAAATTATTATATTTGAATGGAACTTATTAATCAAGAAAGGTTGTCGGTTGAAAAATTCAAATTTCTTTTGAATTTTTACCTACTGAGTGCAATTACAAATAGCATAGTGTGCCTGGAGAAAGTTCTATAATATAAATATTTTTCCAGGTATTGTGTAAAGAACGACAAATATTTTTGACTTCATCATTTTCATCTAATATAAGAACTCGGAAAATATCGTCCTTGTGCTGTTGCAGAGTTCGACTCTGGTTTTGATTACATGCACCAATGACGAATATGCGAATAAAACCGAACTAAAGCGTCAAATTAGAGACGTATTCAATGGTTGAAAAGTTTTTCATTGAATTATGAACGTGAATAATCACAGCAAATACGTGAAGAATTGATTGAAAAAATTGAACTTCGTATCAAAATATCTTGCCAATTATCTTGAACAGTGGCGACAGACAGATTAAATGTATTCCTTTTTTTTTCATGAAAGATATTTTCAGTTCTTCTTTACATGCAAAAATATATTAAGCGGAACAAGTGCCACTTTAATAACTCTTGAAATTTCTCTTAGTGTATAGTTCTATACACCTACGATGCTTCATGTTATAAAAAGAATTTATAAAAAGAAGCAAGATGAAAAAGGCAGATAATTAAGATTCCAAAAAACTGTAAGAATATAAATAATTGTGTATTTCAATCTCAGCACGAGGTTCATAAGGTGCTTTTAAATTCGCGATCCAATGCCAATGAGTCTAATTATGATCAATACCTTCGACGATTCAATCAGTGATGCCATTCTTCTCAATAATCAACTTAGCCAAACAGAAATGAGAGAGTATTCAATATTTTTCTAAATATTGAATAGGATTTCATTGCCTCACTGAATTTTTATGTATACGGTAGCTAGGATATTCTCATACAGTCTTTTGCGATTGTCAATAAAATCGAACTGGTACCGTTGGAATTAAATACTTTTCCTAATCAGTAAAAGTATGTATTTATATGTTCTCTCTTTTTTCAAGAATTTTAGCTTAGTTTCGATGAATTTCTATGCACGTAATTATTCTTATAACACGAAGTTGTCTACGTCCGAATTTTCAAAATCTTTTCTTTTTTCATGCTATCTAGTGAATATATTAGTTTATGGATCGAATAGTTAGCTGCAACGAGCTCAAAAAAGAAATCAAAGGTATGCGTCATTTCCTTGATACGACTCTTTTTCGTTTTTACATAATAAAACTTGTGGGACCTATTACCAGGAGACTATCATCAAATATTTGCCAGTAAAAATGAGCTCACTTTGAATTGTATTAACTTCTAAGTTTTGTTTTTATTGAATACGCTATAGGCGAAGTTCAAAATAAGGACAATTATATATGTCTACACAATGCCTAGAGAAAATTGGAACATCGCTTAAGAGGAACTTGAAATATTAATTTACCAAGTACAAACATTTTACATTATCAAATTTTATAATTTCTCCTATAACGGATAGTTCATTGCGTCTACCCATTGTTTTTTATTTGGCTAACAAATTGAACCATACGTATGCAGCTCAATCAGTTATTATTGTGTCAAGAAATACTAGAGAAAGCATAGCACTTTTCAGAACATGGACTCTTCTCAAAAAAATTCGTAATAATTAATAGTACAGATTCTAGCAATTCTATGGTAAGAACGTATTATAAATTGGCTATTTAAATGTTCTAAAACGTCAGACACAAAAAGTCTATCAAGCTATTTGTATTTATTGTAAATGCGAGAGGGATATAAATATAATCTTCTTATTAGAAGATCACCTAAATAGTATCTTGATGAAAGCGCATAACTCTCTTATTCGCATGTCTCTTATTTACGTCAAAACAAGAACTTAAGAGGATTGAACCCAACAAATCTATATATGAGATTACAGATGAAAAGATAAAAAATTAATTAGATAAGGCTTTAGACGAATCCAACTGGAAACATCAACATTGCCATTCATCATTCAATTGTAGTATCAGTAGTTGTTGTATAGTCTAAGAGAAATTACAAGCAAAGGCACTCATACACATCAAATGGCGTCATGGCATCGAAAGAAAGATCCACCTCCATACGAAACTGCTGAACTAATCATAAGTGGCATTATTCCTATGGTTCTTATTGTCATTGGAACAATCGGTAATATTATGTCCAGTTTGATTTTGCTTAAAAGCGAAAAGTGTCGACTATCTACTAACGTTTATTTAATATTTCTATGCATTACGGATACCATTTCGTTGTATCAATGGAATTTAAGTCAGGCTATATACACCTTCACCGATGGTGCAAATCCAGGATGGGCACAATCGGTGTTTCTTTGCAAATTGAGTGCATTTTTTGGCTTTTATACTTTACATACATCGGCTATGTTTCTCACCTTTGTTGAACTTGATCGTGCATTTCTGCTCCGTAGTCGATGGTATAAAATAAGAATAGCTCAACCGCGTGTAGCATTAATAATATGTGCTTTTATTCTACTCGTTTTGTTTGCATTGAATGGATTTTTATTTTGGTTAGGTTTCGAATATTCTACCTTTAATAATAATACTGGCCTACAAGAAACACAAGTAGCATGCTATTACTCAATGGATCAAAACCTTAATGATTTCTTTAGTATACAATATTCATGGGTAAGTTCATTCAATTGAATTAGCACGATCAATTTTCAGTTTCTTTTTCTAGATTCATGTTATAATCATGTATTTCATACCATTTTCAATCATGGCCGTTTGTACATTGCTCGTGGTAAAAAAGCTTATTAATACACAAACATTTTCAAATCAACAATTGGCAACGAATGCTAAACGTAATCGTCGTATTTCACTCATGTTGTTATTCATGTGTTTCGCTTATGTTGTTTGCACTCTACCCAATCGACTTTGCTTTTCATTTTTTGCAAACGAACTCATTGGTCATGATTATACAGATACGGTATTTCTTAGTACGAATACGTTGATGTATACAAGAAGTGCGTTGAATGCATTTTTTCTCTATCAATCTGTTCATACTTTTCGACTAGATGTACGGAAGTTCATATTATGTTGTGGAAGATGTATTATTAAAGTAGGCCCGAATAATACATTGATTGCAAATCATACTCTGTCGGCATCATTGGATCATCGAACTGTTAAAAGTGGTATCGCTATATTGCCAATCCAATAAAAACCTAAACTTTTCGTTTATTTTAATTTGTGTGTGTGTGTGTGTGTGAGTACAGACTTAAATATTTTGTTGTAATATTCTTTGATCATCAATGATATTTATTTTATGAATTTCAAAACTTAATTTTATTATATATCTGTTGTAAAATTTCAGAAATAAAATATTTATTGTTGTTTTGATTAAAATAGTAGAGGAAAGTTATGATTGCATTTAATAGAAGTAAACTCTGCAATTATCACTTGTTAATTTCAAATGCAAAAAGAATAAGAAACTTGACCTAAGATTGGTTTCATTTGTTGGAAGAAAGGCAACGTATTAGGTCGAATTACCTTAACTCGCCACCCCCCCCCCGCTCCCCAATGATTTCAGCCTATAGATTGAAATAATATTAATGAAAAATAATTTTACAAGTCGATTCATATAATAAACATAGGCTTTCACATTATTTAAATCGGCAAATCTTGTTCAACTGATAGTATATGACAAAAGAATGAGTTATGTACGTTTTGCACAAAAATTCAGCCTCCGCATTCAAGTAAACTTTGATTCGTAGTATGAAAAACTGAAAATAAATTTGTTTATAGTTGTATTCGAAAACGTGATACATTATTTGTGCCGATCTTTATAGAGTAGCAAGTTTTACCAGAAAATCGGTGTTCTATATGGTACTTGGAGAAACTATATTGTTTTATAAGTGAGATTATTGAGTTAGGAGAGTACTTCTAATTTTCAAGTAGAAAAACTCAAACTGGTCCAATTTACTAATAGAAAATGGGAACATTATATTTTATCAGTGAAATAAATGAAATGATCAGTAATTAATCTTAAAGTGATCAGTTTATTATATATAATTACCAGTAAAAAAGCTAAAATTGATCAGTAAAACATAGAAATTTGGGTGTGGATGTGATTCTTCTGCTCATCTAGACCCAGGTGAAACAATCAGACGGTATTCTTGTAAGATCAGATGAAATCACACAAAAAATCGTAAAGTCAGATCATCGTATCCATTCGTATTGTGAGATTCGCATAAGATCTTATCAGGACATAAGATTCTTGTAAGATCTAATGAGAATCTTACAGAAATCTTACAGTGCGAATTGATACGATGATCTGGCTTTACGATTCCTTGTATGATTTCATCTGATCTTATACGATCATACCGGATCAGAGGTATGATCATACAAGATCTTACTATCTGATTGTTTAACATGGGGACGGACCCACGCCCTTTTTTGGAATTCTTTGATTTCCATTTATTCCATCATTGCCTTCCAGAACCTCTTTGTCTGATATATCACTTTCATATTGAACAACTTGTACGACTTCCATCTTTTTTACTCGTTGGTACTAAGCTGAACGTGAAAGAAGGGAGCTAAGAGTACATTTATGTATGTTGTACTTATCAGCCGTACGATATATAGACCAAAAGAGCAAACATGAAAAAAAGTAAATCACCTTATAACACATTTCAATCTTTATACTGATCCTTTAATCTAATTTACTGATTTTTAAATATATCAATAAATCGAAGTATATTAATAACTGACCACACAAATAATGTACTGATCATTTTACTTATTCTACTGATCGCTTAAATGATAGTCATAGAAGATCATGTGCCATAACTCACGTATTCATCAGACACGCATTTCCGAGAAAGATATCCTGAAGAAAATCTAAACTGGTACGCAACTGAGAATTGTCAACTGTAGATTCTAAAAGCTAGACTAAACACCGGCTATTTGTTTTTCTTTGATGAAATCCATAAGAAACTGCAAGTAGAGATTTTCAGCCAAAAATATTTTTCTGAATGAAATTAACTAATATAAAAATGTGTTTACTTTTGAAGTATACAGTACATAAGACAGAGTGTCTTTTTGATTCGTGCAAGAACTCTAAGTTCATTTAATTATTAAGCGGTTATATGATTCATTATTTTAACATAAAAGATGCAAGTACTTTCATATCTTGGGTAATTCAAAGAGAGTTTATACAAAGTGACGAAATCTCATCAGTCATGCAAATACTAACATTTTTTTAGCGATGAATGATGTATTTCATTCCTTTTCAGGAAGTAATCAGAGTTTAAACGTGTCAATTTGAAAAGAACAAATCTTACAAAATAAATGAGCTTTTTTTTAGATATTCGATGCGTGGTCAGGCACTCTATGAAACGTTGAATCCTAAGCATTTATTTATTTAACAATAATAATCTAACGATTAGATATATTAACGTTTAATTGGATGATATAAATATTTAGATGAACTTCAACAATTCTATTTATTGATCTGCAATATTACGTAGAGATTTGTTTTGGTTGCACTGGCATTTTAAATGAAACGAAATTACTTCTAGATAATAATCCAATGAATGTTGACATTAATTTTCGAAGCAAAATACAATTGTACAGAAAGAAATAAAAGCAGCATTAACAGCTGAAATGCATAGAAATTCAAACAGCATCAATTTCATGAGTATGTAGGAGGCTGGTATACTGTTTCAACTCCTTATATATTATATATGAGTTATTTATCCTTTGCAAGAGATTATTATAACTGAAGATAGCCTTTGTCAACTATTCAGAATTTAATGCTGACAGATATGTAATATCATAAAATGGTAATATGAGTTCTAAGGATTAAAAAATCCTAACTGACCTGTCATGCATTCACTACTACCTAATACTATAAATATTAGTCAAAGAATGAAATTCAAGTCGAAAGCTAATAATTGAACTAAATAACTTATACAACAAAGAAAAAATTCAGAAAATCGGTTCACGCATAAAGCTGTAACTTGATTATTTTACATAGTGATACTGCAGAGCAAACATTTCATCAATAAATAAAAATTTTGACAAACCCTATTATCGCTTGCAAATACTATAGAAGCGAACTATGGAGAGTGTTAATTAAGAATGAAAATTGGATTTAGCGATATAAGACCCTGTGATAGAATGTACGTACGCCGATATAACGCGATCGCATCGTTCTAGCTCAATAGCTAATTACATCTACCAGCTGTAATTGTTACCCGGAGAATTTCTCACGTTTTTTGTTCAACTAATCGAATTCGTTAAGAAGCCTAAAAAATTTGATAGAAAGCCATGGAAAAATTTAATTAGTTACATAATAATAGTAATAAACCGAAGCATATCTTCAAGGTTGTATTGCCAATTTATTTGTTGAAACAAACATCGCTAGAGGATCAGCTTATTCCATAGAGTATTAGATTTTTTTACAATCAACTAATGAGGACGAAGGTTCAGGCTGCTTTAAAGATTAAAAAATCAACGATTAATTGCATTCAGAGAGCAAATGACCTGTAACTAGATTCGATTGTTAACATCCGTATCGATATTTATAATATGAATCGTTGTTTGAAGCATCGTTTTGCATTGAATAATACATTCCATAGATTCTTAATGAATCGTACTCATCCGAACTTTTTCATAATTCAATTTTGTAGAAGATCGATAACTTATAAGACAGCAATCCGTTAATGCTATCTTTTTGCATTGACACAGTATTTGGCAAACAAAAATGTAATATTGATGGTAGACGTAGATAATGATTATCTTTCTATTATTGTAAGAGACGATCTCATTGAATATTATGACATATAAAACTTCGTAAGCATACTCAAATTGCATCTGATTGAATTGAGCTAGACATTGTTTCCATCGTCTAAAGACACGCCAGTTGTATTTCGCATTTTATACGTTATAAAGCATTTTACTATGCGTATTACTTTCTTCGAGTTTTTCAATATTCTGACCAGTTAAATCTAGAGTTTTTGATCTATTGTCGCACTGAACATAAACCAAATATATGCAGTTTGGTCCTGGACATAACGACGCGATAAAGAATGAGACTATTTAAATCCTGTATTGTTTACCGAAGAGAAATATTTGAAATTGTTCGTTCAGAGTAATACCATCGTAGTTTTACCCGAAAGTATAGCATTGCCTTTTTGATTGCATCGAAAGGAACATCCATTAAATATATAAAACACTTCATATTAGACCTAGGTTGAACTTGAATCCAGAGTAAATCTTTCTCAAACGTGAACTCATCCGTTCTACGGAATAAAGTGCGATATCTCACCGGGCTTGACTCGACATGTTATTTTCCTGTATTTAATACACTCATAAAAAAGATATGGTTTTATCAACTATTTCAGTGTCGAAAAAAATAGAAAATTAGAAAGCAATAGAAAATTAGAAAGCCATACTTTTATGGATCAATAATTCTTTTCGGTTTGTATATATTCATGGAATGAAACAATGCCATTGATACATTAGCAAGACGTACTTTATTATGACTTTTGCCTCGGTGAACGCTTAAGCGGAAGAAGAGCTTTGCAACATTATGATTACTCCAACATATGAATATTTCCGAGAGTTTAAATATAATTCATTTCATAAGGAAATTTAATCAGGTAAAACTTGCAATTCAAATGCAAAAGGAAAAGCTAAAGATATTTTTTGACTTTTGAGATAGATGAGATGATAGGATTGGTGGAGATGTTCAATAAAAGTTTTCAGTGGAAACAAGCAGTGAGCAACCCGGGGAGAAAAACGGATATATACTTATATGAACATCAGTCATTTCAAGACACCTTCATTCTTAATCATTGCATAGTGAATATATTATAGAAAAGATCTCATGGCATCGTGGCATCGACAGCAAGATACAGCTCCGTACGAAACGGCTGAATTCATCGTAAGTGGTATTATTCCTATAGTTCTTATTGTAATTGGAACGATCGGCAATTTTACATGTATCGCTATTTTACTTAACAAACAAAATCGTGAAGCATCAACGAATATCTATTTGATGTTTTTGTGTCTAATGGATACGATATCACTTTATCAGTGGAATTTAAATCATGTCTTTTATACAATGACAAACGGTAAACGGAAAGTATTTGGACGATCGATTATTCTTTGCAAGTTTGGTCAATTTTTTGGATTTTATACTTTACATACATCAGCTATGTTTCTCACCTTTGTACAACTCGACCGTGCTTTTCTATTACGTAGTCGATGGTATAAAGCAAAAATAGCGCATCCACGTGTAGCATTAATTATTTGTGCTATTATTCTGATCACTTTATTTGGATTGAATGGATTTTTATTTGGATTAGGTTTCGAATATTCTAAGTATAACAATAGTACGGGAACAGAAGAAATACGTGTCGCATGTTATTATTCAAAAGATTCGAAGCTTGATAATTTCTTTCGTGTGCAATATACCTGGGTAAGTTTATTTAACACAATAACTATATTTCATATTCGATGTGTTTTGTTTTTCTTCACTATAGATTCATCTCGTAGTCATGTATATTGTGCCGTTTAGTGTCATTATTTTTTGTACATTACTCATAGTTAAAAAGATAATTATTAAACAAACATTTACGAATGATCAACTAGCAATGAGTGCACAACGCAACCGTCGTATTTCTATAATGCTTTTATTCATGTGTTTTACCTATATAATTACTACGTTGCCTAATCGTCTTTGTTTCTCAGTGTTTGAGAAGCAGCTGGTTGGTCATGATTATACAGATACAGTATTTCTTGCTACGAACACTTTGATGTACACGAGAAATTCTCTCAATGCATTTTTTCTCTATCTATCGGTAAATTGTTTTCGGCGTGATGTGCGTCGATTACTACTGATATGTTGGAGAAAATTAACCGGTCAACCGATTCTTCAGGAAAACAACGCCAATGAACATGTTGGCAGAATGAAAACATTTCGTGAACCACTAAAAACAGTAGTAAATACAATGCCAATCAAAAAAACTACGCAATTATGATTAAGAATTGCGTTTCATTAACATTTCTCTCTTGCGCTTTTTTTCTCCATTAAATCTAGTATTAATATGAATTTTCGTATCATAGAAATCTCACGCGAGTTTTCTATGGTTAACATTAAATTGTCGATTTAGCACTCGCTCCTCTCCTTGGATTTGCGATGCTATCTTCGTCATGCGATGAGAAGTTGAAAAAAATGACTTCTTATTATTAATTAATGGGAGTGTCAGTATTCCGTATTTTAGAAACGATGATAAAAATAAGTTCATTGTTAATAATATGTAGCCTACAGTGCAGTACCTTCACTATGGATGATCATGAATGACGTGACAAGAGAAAATAATAAACCACAAGGTTATATACGCGAATGCAAGTCTGTCTTTGACTGCTGCCAGACTTTGTTTGCTTAAACACGCAAAAAAGAAAGAATTAAATACTCAATCATGAATATTAGTTTGTCTTAGAAGTTTACTGTTAAAAATATATAGTAATTCGTTAAAGAAGAGAAGCAGATCAAAAGCTTTGTGAATTCATCTATTGACTTTCTATACGATCGAATCAATTTACACGTGTGATGGGCAACATCTGCGAACATATTTGATTTCAATTCCATTTTAATATCAACTTTCAGAGTATTTAAGCCACTGTGCAGCAACTAGAGTTCCATTCGGTTTCAACTTGAACTATAATTTTCTTGAAATTCTCACTGTAAATTTGGCTTCAAAATTTCCAATTTAATTTTAGCTCGAACTTATCAATTAATTACATCGCCCCACTGCAATTCAAATTCAACTTCATTTGAAATCCTATGGAAAAGCCTCGACATCATTATTTATATTAGTTTTCCATTTTTAACAAGCTCTGTTGCTACTATTTTCTTTCATACATTTAATCATTAAATTGTTGCTTTCTCTAGGTTACAAATTAGCACGCGTTCAATAAAAAAAATGGAAATCATATATTATTCGACGTTAATTGACTAAGCTGGTAACTTTTTTCCATTATATTTATTAGCTAAGTTTTCTCGTTTTAACATGAAGTTATAAAAAATCTCTTTCTGCAGCCTAATGTGTGAAACTGACGATAAACAGATAAAAACTAAATCCTTTTTTTATTGTAACAATAGATATTTTATAATCTGACACGTGTGTTGCCAATTGTCTTAACTAATATTTTTCTATGCTCATGTCATTTTACTTATCTTCTTGTATTTAGTTGTCTATTTTGTTTTCTCATAATATCGCAAAGTGTTATTATTTAAAGTCAGATTTAGTTTAGAAAAAAAAATATCAAAATTGCCTTCTACTTCCATAATAAGCATTTCTTTTTTTTTCCTAACAGAAGAAAAATGTAACAGATTATTTATGAGAAAGAGTAGCGAAGCAATTTAAGATGTAAAAAAAACCTGAAGCTTGCCTCCGTAGTTTCATATTACTTTAATTTATTTGATTCACTTCACCTTAATATTTCTTTACACGATACGCGAGCAAATACTTGATTGTTAAAGCAAACCTGAGGCCATCAAAAAATACTAAATCAAGTTCAATGTAATCGTCGTATTTTACTATTGCTATTACTCATGTGTTCTATATATGGTAGAGTCTCACTTTACAGAATTGTATTTTTCCCATTTTTTAATCATTCGAACAGATTTACGTACGAAAACAATAGGATAAATCTATTTTTCATATTTATGTTAATCTCAATCTTAATTTTCTCGAGATGATTAATTCAAAGTTTTTTTTTTCTCACATAAGAGAAATTTATTCAACCAATCTATCGGTACGTATGATTTTCTTTATCTTACGTCTATAAAATGTCAATAGAATTTACGACGATGCGTACATTCCGATATTCGCACTTCACTAGAGCATAGTAGAGTTTATCGAAAATATTGAGAGAAATAAATAAAAACGAAATTACTATGTTATTGATCTGCGCCATTCAGAAAATAAAAGAAGACTGTGCTCTCAAGAACGAATTAGGAAGGCAAAATATTCTGTACAAAAGGAATTATTTATAGGTCAGATAAAAATTATCAATATTAGTTGTATACAGTAAACAACACTATTTTTAGTAGTTCAACACAATTTCCTTGTTCCTATATCCTCTATAATTGAGAAATCTACCTTCGGGTGGTCATTATTTAGCTTTTACAATAACAATGACAAATGTGTTTATAATGCTTTTTGTTAATTTTCATAATAGAATTGTGATAGACTCTCGAAGAAGAAGAAGAAGTAGAAGAAGACTCTTCAGCTCAAATGTTTTTTTTTGTACTAATTGGTCATTATGCTATGTGATTATAGCCGAGAATTTAAACTTTTCTATTTATTAATCGAGATAAAAACTATTACACATATGCTAGGCTTATTTAACGAATAGCATTTTACTACTGCAACAGATATAGAATTATTGTAGTGGTCATGATTACAGAAAATAATAGTGACTATATTGTATGATCTAATTTTAGAATATGTTTTTTGATGAGAAATACTGAAAAAAAAACTTCTAGAACGAGGTACAATAGCCCTAAGTATAGTCTTGTCGAAATCCGCTACTACTTCAACAATAAATAACTGTAAATGTGTGTTCATACGTTTGACTTTTTTTCTATTTCCTAATAATATTTTGAAAAAATTAGCTTATACGGCTTGTCCACGTAACGCGCTACTTGGTTTGATCAAGTTTTAAAAATTTATCTTTCGATATAGACAGATCTAAGCGTATTTTCTGGTATAATTTTTTTACGCTAATTGTGAATTTGAACTTTTTTTTCTTAAAAACAAACTGGGCTTTGGCATCGAAAATCGGGTTTTAAAGTTTTGAAAAATTGTATTTTCAATTTTCTAACCAAGAAATTTAAAACAAAAATGCAGAGTAAACATTCTTCAGGACAACTTCTAAGCTCTTCTACAGTTTCTAACCTACTATACAATTATCGAGCTCGTATTTCAATGTAGCAACTTGATTTTTGTTGCAGAAGGATTTATGCAGGGCAGTGATCAATATATATAGACATTAAATATTTTTAAGCATGTTAAATGCTTCAAATTTGGTCGACCAAAAAAAATGTGCCACAGAGTTACGGAAAATGTCACAGCTTTACGTTTGTTTTTTGCATTTTTAATCTGAGCGAAAATAGTTTAGAAAAAATATTTTTTTCTACTTGAAATCCCATTCAAGTCTCTACAAAACTGGTACCGTAAGCATTTCATTTGAAGAAATGATTTGTCAAAAAATTAGAGCTTTATAAGCAGCCCTAGAAACAAGGGTCCTTTTTGTCACAGTGTTACGCGAGGATAAAACCTTTCTAGAAACGGGAGCGTTCAGTCAAACTAGGTCATTCTTTGTACATAAATAGAGTATGATAAGCTGCGTCGAATGACGTTTGAATGATCTTATTAGCTTTTATGCCTTTCGAGATAATTGCAAAACAATTTGTCAAAATGTCACAGCGTTATGTTTGGACAAGCCGTATAAAATTCTAGCAGTAAAAGGCTGCCCTACTTATCTTTATCATGACTCTTTAGATCGATCCAGCAAACCACTATTACTAATAATATATCATAATTCTATTAATTAAGAAATTAAGGATTTTATTTTTATTGCTTTGGTCACTTTGAACAAAGAAATTTGCCTTTTATTTTCTATCTAATGAAATGAGTTTTCACCGAAAACATAGAATAAGAAGTTTCTAATCACATACTATTTCGGTTTTATAAAATTCTTCAAAACAGTGTTTTATTCTTTATTATTTTACACAGAGACAAACTGAATTTTTACACATTAGAACACAGTCTATCAATTATTACACCGCTTCATCACATGAAAATTTCTATTTCATCATCAAAACTAATGGAAAAAGACGTAATAAAAGTAGAGACTTTCATTCATTAAGTAAATGAATGATGATAAATACCAACTTAGTAAACGTTTTTCTTTTGCGCGCATTGTCTACTTCGATTTGCATCTTGTGAATGTTTCACTTGAAGCATGCTAATTTCCGGCAATATCAATGTCAATTTCTAGAAAGTATCTTGCCATACAAGACACTTCAAATATGACGAGTTTTTCTTCTTTATTACCCATTAGCTACTAAAATGGATATGCTTTGTTTAAAAACAAAATTGTTATTTTTTCTCCTATCTTGCATTCTTGATTATTTTCTTAAACGTAAAAAAACAATCGAAATATAATTAGTTATTGTTTTTTAGAATTCAAGTAGCGAAATTCTATTGAGAAAATTTAAGATGCAAAAACAAGATTGCAACCTAGATGGATGAATTATCAATAATAAACATACACACACACACAAAAGTAGGTTATTCATGTTCATGAATTCTTATAAAACATAGATAGTTGTACTTATTGAATGTCATGATTTTATCAACTTTTGTATTGATAAAAAGATGAAGAGTAAAAGTAATGGACTAGCATTCCAAATTTCGTTTTCTTTTCATACAATCGAACATGTCAGAGTTCTATTCATGATGCTTATTATAATTTAGTTCAGATGCAATAAATATTGCAAAGAAATATTTTATGTTGTATTTCTGTAGGCGATTTTTCTTTCTTTTTTTCCCTGTTTGTGCTTTTCTACAACTTGTACCCGGAAATTGAAACATCCTGCAGTTAGAAAAAGACCGCCGCTGACGACGCCATGATGTAATTATGCATAAAAATGAGCGTTTGCAATATGAAGAAATGACAATTGAGCACTGATTTTTTTCTTGTGACAACGAAATACTAGAGAGAAAATATGATCTCTAGTTTTATTCGTTATTTGCATTATGAAAAGGAAAGAGAATAAAAACGTGTGAAAACTCGCAGTGAGCGTGTTTCTTTTTTTCCTATTCTATTCTTTTGGGCAAAAATTCAGTGATAATGAATTATCAGATAGATAATAATGAACTAATTCTAACAATAATACGTGTTTTTAGTCGGCAGATACATTAATGTTCTAATAGAAAATTTATTTATGTAGATATTTATTTTTATTTGAGTATGTGTGCGTGCCGACGCTTTTTTGCCGATTCCTTCGCGCAATCCACTTTCTCCCTCGCTCTCTATTTCTCTCGCTCTCTCTCTCTCGCTCTCTCTCTCTCTGTCTGTCTGTCTATCTATTCCTAATATTCAATCTTTCCTCTTCGCCATCTTGAATTTAGACGCCTATAATAGTAGTTATTATTTTAAAATTATACGTGTAAATTTCGAACTATTTCTTTATTATTATTTTCTATAAGCTCTTGCTAATAAATCAACTTAGATATTTACCTATGCAAATAATACAAAAATAATTATCTTTCGGTTGAATATTATATTTTACCTTAACTTAATTAAATGTAATTTCCATATTTATCTCTAGTAGAACACTCATGTAGAGATCTATTATTCTCAGTTCTTTTTTGTCTGTTTTCTTTTAGAATATATAACTATCGTTCCTCGATTCCATTATATTGCTAAAATGGTTGCATGTAGCAGAAGTCATGAGGCACTTATGTCTCTTTTTGTACTTCGAATATTACTGATAAGTTGTTAATAGAAATAGTAAGTATCTACATTGAATTTGACTAGTACGATTCTATAATTTGATAATTGTAATTTAGTTTCCGATAGCTACCATGTTCATTCTCTGGAGTGAATTTTGAAACTTCAGAAAGTTAGAAAATAGATACGAAACTAAGAGTATTTTTAGCCCGATTGAACGGATAAAGTGGGATGAACTATAAATTTCTTCTTCTTCTTTTTTTCTAACAACTTACAAGAAAACGTTTTTCGATTCTAACTTATTAAACGTACTTGATTGGATTCAAATTTTCCTTTTCTGATGAGTTTTTTTTCAATAAGAACTAGCCGAAATATATAATTATACCCGGAGGGGCGAGTCATTTTTTTCTAGTTGTCTGTTTATATTTTTCTATTTTTGTTTTGTAGGGAAGCTCTTGTCTTTTGGAATAACTAACAACAAAAACCTTGCTTTTTAAATATCTCTGGCTTTTGTTGTTATAAAATAAGGGGGAAAAGAACTTCCGTAGTACGGAAACGCAACAAACTAATCTCAATGTGAGTTTAGTAAAGAAAAAAAAACTAGGACAACAAATGTTATCACTTAACTACAATAGACTCATTTTTCTCCTTATTAAATAAATATATCAAACGATTTATAATTTAAAGTTGTTCTGTTTTGCTTTTACACTTTAGATGCTTATTTAATCTTCTAATTCCATTCTAGTTAGTTAAGCACATTTATGTATTATTAATAGAACAATAACAACAATAAATAATAAATAAATGAGTATTTTATTAGCCGGTGGACGGTCGGCAACGGCTCGTCGTTTTTCACAAGCTGCCTTAAATTCATCAAACTGTCAATGGCCATCAGTAGCTACGATGCGCCATGAGAGTATATCAATCATGGGTCGACGTCGTGCACTTGATTTATACGGCACAAAAGATGTACTCTTTACACATGAACAGATGAAACGAGCTAAACGATCATTGGGGAGTACAGGAGGCATTTCTCTATCAGGGTAGGTAAGCATTTATAATTATTTTGTGTTTCGTTTTTTGAAATAGAATTATCCGTCTGTGTGATCAGCAAAATGAGTAGATGTTTGATCTTATTTTGATAGAAATAGTCCACAGTATCTTTGCCATCGGGTGATCAATAATAAAATCAAATCAAAGAATTAGTATGTCGAATAGGATTATATAAATAAAAAAAATGAGAATAAAAAGGCCTTGATGCTGGATGTATCATAAATTAAGTTATCTAGAGGAAAAAAACAATATTAAATTGAAAATTTCATTCATAAACTGTTGTTTGTAGATCGTCAGAATGACTGATCAAATATTGGCTACGCTCATATTTAGATCACCAAATAAGTACGTGATTACAGAATGTCCATGAGAATCGATTTCATAATGTGTTTTTTTTCTTCTTTGCTACATAATAAAAAATTACATCAAAGCACCTAGAATGTTGACGTCGACAGATCATATAGCAACTAGATGGTATCCGAGTTGCACTTGTATACGAAATGCGATGCGAAGTAAGGATACGGGTCTTCACGACAAATCTTCAATTCAGAGAAATCTTGAAGGCTGTTTATGTCGACATGATGAAATTTATCACTGAGAAAACTCTATTCTTATTTAGCGATACATTCTTAAGGGTCGATTTCGATTAATCAATTAATTATCTCCATGATTCATTATCTTAGATCAGCTGTAAATGAATAGAATATAGTGGCGAACATATGTTCATGACGTCGCTGTAATTGTCTAGCAACAAATTTCTTTCATCTTTGTCATTTTGGAACCACATTTGTGAGTGAAGTGAACGGAATATCAGATTAAAGAATAGAAAAAATCTGTCAGAAAATCGATCTCGATACTATCATTTCCCGTTTCAATGAGTTCTCTATGATTTTCGTACTCGAGATCATCGGGTCACAAAATGATGAAAAAGATGCGTAAGCAGAGAAAGCAAAAGCAAACATCCGACGAACTACAGAAATGCAATGCTTCGCATCGCATTAAACAGAAAACTGAAAATCAATCAAGATCAAACTTTTTCTGTAATCATGAAATTATTTCTTGGATTTTTTAAATTGACTGAGCAAATCTTAAAACCAATTGAGAGAAAATTAATCGTCTTTTTCAATTCTTGGATTCATAATGAAATCTGAATCTAAGATCAATTTTCATCGGTTAAACTATCAATTTCGTTCTATTCTCATCCATAGATTATTGATAGGTTAGTGGAATGACAACTAGAGATATTATATAGCATTCATTGAGATCTTTCGAACCGCTTTGAGTCACAAGCTGAACGCATATGATTGAACAGTGCAATCGAGGATCGTATAATCGAATAGTATGATTATTCACATCGGCTGTTACTAACTGTTGGAAGGGTTTTTGTTTACGTTAGACATACGAAGAGTCTTAAGGATCGATTTAATTCTTGAATTTATTATTGGCACGAGCTTAACGTGTGTAAACAACGCCTGACCTTACAAACATTGCTTGTTCAAAGGCATGATATTCTTATCGATTTTCCATCTCATCAGTTTTTGTAAGACACATGCAATTGAAAACTCATTAAGGCATTGTTAATTGTTTAGTATTTGTAGATAAAAAAGAAAAAAGAAAGTTGTGTCATCTAGGTGCCATGAAATTTCACGAACGAAACAATGAGATTATTCACTTTATAATACATCGAGAACAACAACAATTTCGATCTCAATTTTTTAATGAATAATATGTGATTCGCATGTCTTTATTTAATCAGAATTTCTAATTATTCATACTAAAAATATCTTAGATAAATAAATACTTGCTTCTATACAGCTTATTCCTTACACTTTTTCAACAATCTTCATAATATTGTATACATGAGAAACGCTTATTAGTCAGCATCTTCACTTTCAGTATGCTCTAATAGAGTTTTATACTAAATAGAGCTTTCCTTTGGTTATACTATTAATATTTAATAAACACTGTAAATGAGACTAGTATTTCGAGCCTGTTTAGAAATAACTCTTTTGCAACATAATCCAATCTATTGCGTATTTTCATTATCCTAATAAAACTAACTGTAAATTGCCTGGCATAAAGATTTTTTTTCAAACTTTTGTAAAATTGTAAATCAGCGTTCAATAAAAGATTTACTTTAGTGTTTTCATTCGGTAAATTTAAATAGTTCAGAACTATTTGTTTCACAGTCAGTTAACTCTCATCATGAGTATCTAAGTTGAAAAAGAATCGACAGAATATTATTACTTGAATGAAAATTTAAAATCTCTTTTTCTTAGTAAATTTCTCATCATCACAAGTGTTAAAACAGACTTCAAACAAATTAAATGAATTTCAAAGTTTTCATGATGTCTGACATCTTCAGTATTTTCCATTCGCAGCCATATTGCACTATAGATGAGCATGATTTGTATTTAATCGGTATTTTGTTTTTGTTTTCGTTGTTGATCGTTTCATAGAAAATCATTTTTAATCGACACCATCAATCTAAACATTGAACATGATAAATACATCGACATTCTGTAATACATCTTGTAGTCTTGATTTTTCTTGACTTATAGAAAGAAATTTACTTGTTAAAGAAATATTGTCTGACCGGAAGGAATTTTATGTCTCTCTTGATAAACTTCAACATTCATTAAGAATCTCACTTCACAAAACTAATTTGTTTGGTTACAAATAGTTTCTCGAGAGAAAATAAAATCAAGGCACAAGGAACATCTAGAATCCACAAGGACATCATGACAAAACAACATCCATTATGTAACATATTCAAAAGATTATCTATTATTTTTTTCTGGGATAGATTCGATAGATGAAAAAAATTTTATGATTTTGTAATTTAATAGATATTTCCATAATATTATCGTATCGTTGAACGATAGAAACTATTTCATAGCCAAGTAAACTATACCTGGTATTAGATTGCATGCCAAATAATAAAACTAATGTCTGCTTAGTTAATCGAGTGAACAAAAGCATTTTTTGTTGACCTTCTGCTACAATGAAAATATCAATTTTACTAATTATTTTTTAGTCATGTAATTAAATTTCTTTCTTTTTATCAAGGTCCGTGTCCATTTCTTTTTTTTTGCCATCTGGCATGAAATTGCTAAGATCAATTAGATTAAAACAAACTGGAAATATTTATCAAGCTATGATTTTTTCTACTAGATTGAGTTAATTAGCAGGGGCATAAATAGGAGAGGGTGTGGGGTGTAACGTCTCACCTGCTTTTGAAAATTTCGTTTTTTTGCTTACCAAAACAGAAAAAGTTTACGCCTCCCCTGCCCCAAAAGTTCATTTTTTAAGGTCATGAAAACAGAAAAATTAGAGTTACGCCCTCCCCCCCCCTGCTCTGAGACCTGACTTACGCCCCTATTAATTAGGTTAGTATTGACATAAAATTTGGAAACAAATTCAATAGAATGTACGGAAATATTTGCGAGAACTTTAAATAATGTTGTCTTTATGATTAGAATTTAGTTGACACGCAAAAAAGACATCCATTCGATGTCATAACTAGAATATAATTTGTGTATGCAAAATCAGTATTTTTTTTATTTTCTATTTGTTATTAGTTTTTAGTCAATAGAAATGCTAAAAGTTAACTGTGTCATTTCCTTCTTATAAAGGTAATAATAAATTTACCAAATAATCTAGTAGTAGTAGAAGAAGAAGATTTTCTCAGCTAAATTGTTCAATCGAGTGTCGAAAAAAGACCTTGTCAAGTCTCGATTGGCCTTGAATTGTGTTGTTAATGCCGTAAATATAAAGAGTATACTATAGATATGTAGCTTCTATCGTTGAGTCGACTTCAATAGTATCGTAAAAATTGGTTATTCTACTAGTAAAAGCTCTTTTCCCCTATATTCATATGGAAACAGAAGAACAATTCATGGAACATGTATATGAGAAATTTCATGTGCATGAGCTCCTACATTATTCAAGAGGATAGGATACATGGAGAAAAAAAGAATGACATGGTGAAGAGAATAAATCGCCTATTGTGTTCATAAAAATTCAAACGACTTGTCTGTCAAACATCCAGATCGTGTAATCATAGAAGATATAGTTCCGGAGAGAGCGACAGAAAAAAGAGACTCGACCGCTATGCATAAATGTTACAAACAACAGTAATGTACTCAAAACAGAAATAATTTTTAGTAATTATTCTTCACATGCAATGGAAAATATAAAAAAAAGGTGCTACCTTATTTTTTTTTCTCATAAATTTTGAGTGACGATTAGGCACAGCAACAAAAAAAGGCGAATTCAATAGAACAGATATGGAAAATGACATAAAACCTTGTTGAAAGAATAATTAATATGAATTTCATTGAAGAAAAATAGAAATAATATTGCCGAGAAAACGAGCGTAAAAGTACAAATATGATGAAGTGTAACACTGTGTATAAAGAACTTTTTCTTATTTATCTTGAGAATACTATTCAAAAAGATTTTTCAACAATAGGATTTGGAAAGATTTAGTTTTCAATCGGGATGAGAGCATTGTATTCATGTTAGTTAGGTCAAAAACGATTAGGAAACAACTTCATCCCATTATCTGAAATAGCCAAGATTAGAAGAATGTTTTTGCCGGAATATTAAGTGAGAACTATTCAAATTTTTGAAATATTCTAAGCTTTTATTGGTAGAAAATGACTATATAAAAAAACTCTCGAAATAATTCTTCTTTTCATTGGAAGAGTAGTCTGTCTAAAACACTGATTTTTGTTTTTCATATTCGAATGAAATGACTGTTGTCTTCTATCGCCGATGAACTAATTTAAGCTCACACTATCATGGTAATTTACATAGATGTTCAAAGGAAACGCTGTGCATCCTGAGTATACCTGGTGCCTTTGATGAAAGTTATTCTACGATGATTTTCCATTTTACTAACATTGACTAAAGACAATGAAAAATATTCTTTTCGAATGCTAATTTGATACACACCGATGAATTCAATGATAGTTTACAATTATCACAGATTCCGACATAAATGATGTTTTATATCTCAACATTCTTCGATTATTTTATACTTATGGGATAGCAAACTGAATGAACCCTTTTTACATTTGTTTTTGATCTACGTAGTTAAAACTGTCAACTATACTACCACATCATTTATTGATTTAGACCATTAAGCTCCACATAGACTATCAAAGAGTGGGGATTATTATAGAAAAATAAAATTGATTGCTACGCGCACTTATGTTGTTATTATCACCCTGAGAATGTTCCTTGCTTTATGAGATCCATAGGAGTCAAGCAGGATTTTCGTCATTGAAACGTAGAAACTAATAAAAAAAAACCTATCATAAACTAGGTTAAAATAATGAGCCTCTGTTGATCTCCGTTTAAATCATTTTTGTTAGGCCTAGTACTACGATTTATTTTGCTTTAATATGGAATAGCATGATTCTTTTTACGATGACTCAATATTATGTATTCCTCTGAATATAGGATTAGATTGATGAGATTTACAAAGCAAACAAAAAAAGAAAATGACAAGAAAGGATAATCTTTTGTGTCAATTTGATAAGTCTGATTGATGTGAACATTGTTGTAAACCTATGCAACTAATCTAGATTTAAGCCTTCGGTTCTGTTAGTCAGGAACAAATTTTCAGCAATTTCGTTTATCAGTACTCAAGAATCTACTCAAATTCTTACAAACTAAAACCTATAGTTGGTTTTATACTAATATTACTCAAAATATAAAATTTTATTTCAAATTTGATAACTTAACAGTATTTTGAGAATTCTAATTGAGATCTCATTAACAATGCAAACTATTCCTATCTCAAAGTCAGGCTGCATCTTTTGATAGTTTACTCAAGATTAAAACAATTTTTTTTTGATAGAGTTTATGCATTGTTCCTTCCTATTCATTGTTTATTTGCTGATTGTGATAAAATTCCATTCAAGAGAATTGATCACTCTAGGGTGGAAAAATAATATGACAATGTCCTCTTTAAGAAAGAAAAAAGAAACGGAAAGACAAACAAAAAACAGCAAACCATCGTATACCTTAAACTTTATATTTTATCCAAAAAAGCGCTTCGTTTCGCTTCCACAGTTGATCAAATACAAGAGATCTTTCTGTGATAATTTATTACTTGAATTATAAACATTGTATTTTAACTAGCAGAAAATGTCTTGATATTTTCAAAAGTTTTGTTGTAACTTTCGAATTAACACTTACAAGAAAAATCGAGCACGATTGCCGATTCATTCAAAACGATTAGATCTATTATTAGATATAAAATATGATCATTTTTCTGTTCATTATTACTTTTCACATGACTAAGCTTCTTTCTTCTTTTACTTTAAAACGAATCTCCATAAAAATTAATTAATTAAAATACATCTATTATTATCCTTGAAAATGAGTCATCTAGAAAAAAAAACTTGCTTGTAATGAAAATCATGTAAAAAAAGTAACACTATCTCAATGCATTATGGAATAGTTTTACTTAATACTATATGATGCATTTCAATAATAACACATTAAAATGTTACTTAGGATCGATATGATAAAAAATAATAATAATCATACAACTTTCTATTTTTGACTATATACGAAGTAAATATTCTCTGTCAGTTCTTCAGTTCATAGAGTACCCAGTAGTGTCAAACTTGAAACTTGAATTCAATTGAAAATAGAAAATTTCAACTTTCGACTCATAGCGATATATGTGTGAGTCACGATTCTTCAGAATGGTATTGGTTTAAAAGTTGAAAATTGAAAATTTCAATGTTCAATTGAATTCAAGTTTCAAGTTTGATATATATGAGAGTATCAAGTAGATGATAATGCTGAATCTATTGAAACTTTAGGAATGATCGAAATAACAATTAATCTAAGTAGTTATTCTTTCTTTTCTTTCTTGTGATTGATTTAATCAACAATTAAGATTGTAAACTATTATCGATGATAATTTAATAATGAAACAAAAATTCGATCAAGAACTTTTAATCTTTCGTTTTATTTTATTCATATTATGAAAAACTATAACTTGTTCATCTGCTCAATACTTCTCTTTCCATAGACTAAATAAGTTGATTATTGTTCAAGAAGAAAATATACTTTCTATAAATAGATTGAAAGAAAAAGATTCGATTATCTCTATGATTTGACATGCAGTTTTCCAAATCGAATATATTGATATGTTGACTTATATGCATGTTTAATCGTCCATAGTAACCAAGAATTATTATCATGATGATGTTCATGTATACATATAGATATGTATATCTACATGTTTGTTTTATTTTTTGTTTTAATATTAAAATTAACGAATAAAAAAAGAATTTGTTCTTTTATCTAAGAAACATTGAGTTAATAAAAAGAGACATTTTTTGCTTACGTCTCTTGAGTATTTTACTATTTACCCCAAGGACACTTCGAAAATCATCAATGTCACACTTGAGACCAATAAGATAAAACAAAAAATGTTTTTATTTGTTCCTATTTATGATTTCATCTCGTGTATCTTATCGATTGTCGTTTTTATTTTCTAATTGATTCATGAAGAAACTAGAGTAACACGAAAGGGGCAACAAACTTAGCTCACATATGCAGGCACACACCCATAGTCTGACAAAAGAAAAAACGAGAAGAAAAAGAGTGTTCATTTCTTTCTTTTTTTTCTATATACACTGGAAAATTGATCATCTTTCTCGTTCTTCGTCGATTTTTTATGTCTCTGTAAAAAAGACTTAGTCCGGTTCTTTCGTCTAAGTTCTGGTGTTCATTCATGTCTGTTGGGGAATCGCATCAATAGAAAGAGAAAAGAGAACAGGGGCGGACTTGTTCCGTTATGTGTTTCCAACATCGTGGTATAGAAGAAGAAGAAGAAGAAGAAAAAAAACGAAGAAAATGTAGAGATCGTTGAACGTGTTCTTCTTTTTTCTCATCAGCCGGCTCGAGCGCAACGCAGTGCGTGTGTCAACAGTATTTTATCTTCTTGCCTGTCTTTAGTTTCTTCTGCTTACTGTGAATACTGTTCCCTGGTCTTATACTTCAAGACGCATGTTTCTCTGAACGGAAAAGATAGACTAGTTAGATAATCTTGTGAAACTTTAAAGCCAGAGTCATGGGCGATTTCAATAATGTATCTGCTATGATCAGGGCTTTGAAAGAAGGTGGTAATTTGGCAGCATTAACTGGCGGTGATCCACATAATCTTCATTCCGGACGAACTGGAGCGTGGAAAGCAAAAATAAAATACTATGCTAAACAAATTAATTCATCTCATCAACGTTCACTATTCATTTTTTCAAAAAATAATTGGATACGAAAACGAGCTAATGCTGTTATTGATTGGAAGTAAGTTTCAAAATAATACAATCAAATATGTTAACTAACTGTTGTTTATATTACTATTTCATATTTATTTTTTAGTCCATTTGAATATATGGTGCTATTAACAATTATAGCTAATTGTATTGTTTTAGCACTCGAAGAACATCTACCACATGAAGATAAAACAACATTAGCCAGATCATTAGTTCGTAATAATGGAAAATAGATAGCATGTCATTTGCGAGTGTTTTGTTTTCTTTTAGGAAAAAACTGAAATTTATTTTATTGGAATTTTTTGCTTTGAAGCTGCACTTAAAATAATTGCTCTGGGTTTCGTATTACATGAAGGTTCATATTTAAGGAGTCTTTGGAATGTGATGGATTTTGTTGTTGTTGTTACTGGGTAAATAAGAGTTCAAAGAAATAATTTTCATATTTTTGAGCGTATTATTTTGTTTATAGTTTAGCGACGATTAGTATTAAAAAGAATAGTTCATTCGATCTACGCACATTACGTGCAGTTCGTGTGCTTCGACCGCTTAAACTTGTCTCAGGCATTCCAAGTTCGTATCACTTTTTGTGTTTCGAATACAATAAAAAAAAATAAGGCAACTAAATTCTATCTGTAATTTCTATAGGTCTTCAAGTGGTGCTTAAATCTATATTGAAAGCCATGGCTCCATTGTTTCAAATAGCTCTTCTCGTTCTTTTTGCTATTATTATCTTTGCTATTATTGGCCTTGAACTGTATTCAGGTGTCTTTCATACAACTTGTTTTTATGCAAATCGGACAGGTTAGCAATGAAAAATTTTCTTAGTTTCCGAATTATTCAACTTTGAATAAACTATAAATCGAATTGAGCATTATATTGAGAGGAAAGTCTATGTCATATATTGAGATTAAGTAATAAATAATTTTTAGTCTCATGAGATTACGTGTATTATCTTTTACATATACATATAGAAACCTATTTCTATGTTTTTCTCTCGTAGCTGCTGACAATGATAGTGACGAATGTAAGTTAAATTCTCTTGTTTATGCTTTTTATTATTATTTATTAATCAAATTTTTAGTAATGTATAAAGGTGAAGACCATCAGTCTACTACATGTGGCATACCGGGAGGTAAAATTATTCAAGTCAAAGGACAAAAAAAGGAAATTTTTCAAATTGTCCTTTTTAATTAGAACCGATATGGGGATGGTTGAATATAAAACATGGTGTTTTCACATGTAATATACCCAATGAATCACTGAGTTGTCGAGAATATTGGGAAGGACCTAATAAAGGCATAACTAGTTTTGATAATATTGGTTTTGCTATGTTAACTGTTTTTCAATGTATAACTATGGAAGGATGGACACAAATTTTATATTGGGTACGAAAACTATAGTAATCGAATAGAAAAATAAACCGTTTCTTTTTTTTTTCTTTCCACAGACAAATGATGCTGTTGGAACGTTGTTTAATTGGCTTTATTTTGTACCATTGATTATTCTCGGTTCATTCTTTATGCTTAATCTTGTTCTTGGTGTTCTAAGCGGGTATGAAGATTAAGTGCTTTGGGCTTGTATTTATTTCTTTATTTCTTTTTTTGATTGATTATCATTGATTAGAGAATTTGCAAAAGAACGAGAACGTGTAGAAAATCGTCGAGCTTTCTTAAAAATTCGTCGCCAGCAACAAATCGAACGTGAATATAATAATTATATTGAATGGATTAATCGAGCTGGTAACAAAACTTGTATCTTTTGTAATAAAAACTAATCAATATTCTATTGTATAGAGGATGTCATTTTAAATGAAGAACGAACTACTGAACAAGAAAGAAGAGCTATTCATGAAGGTAACCTTTTGTATAAAAAGAATAAAAAGGAAAATTTCTATCCTGTTTTTTTTCTTTGACATTTTTTCTTAGCTCGAAAATATGCGCAATTAAAGAAAAGTCGGCATACTCGTGCAGGCAAACAGCATAGTGTTGATGATGATGAAGAAGATATCGGTATGTGTTTACGAACTAGTATTGTCTATTTTGTTCGTTTGGAACTCGTTCTAGACAATGCCTTTAATCGTGGTCGAGGTACAGATATTGAACGCCCTGATAGACCAAGAACTTTAATGCGTCGATGGCATATTCACCAACGTGTGATTAAGTAATAGAGCATTTAAAGAAGAAGAAAAAAAATCATTTGCTATTTTTATTTGTAATATCTAGAAGTAAAATTCGTATCTTAGTTAAAACTCAAGCATTCTATTGGACTGTTATTGTATTGGTATTTTTGAATACTGTTTGTGTTGCTATTGAACATGATCGACAAAAACAATTTCTAACGGATTTTTTGTGTATGATAAAAGATCCATTGAAAAATATACTTTTCATAGGTTTTTTTTATACTTGTATAGATATTGCTGAATTTATATTTTTGGGTTTATTCGTTTTTGAAATGCTTTTTAAAATGTATGGCCTTGGAGTTGATCGATATTTTGCATCATCATTTAATATATTTGATTTTGTCGTATGTTTCAAAGATTTACATCATTCAATTTATTCTTGTTTTCGCTAAAGGTTATTTTTGGCTCAATATTTGAAGTTATTTGGACACATTTTAATCCAGAAGAATCGTTTGGTGTTTCAGTTCTTCGATCTTTACGCCTTTTAAGAATATTTAAAGTCACTCGGTAAGTTAGATAATTTACTATTCGGTAAAGTTGACCCATGTGCTTCTTGGATATATGTGAGCATATTCAACGGACCCCTATGATATTTTATAAAGGCAATTCGATCTCGTCAGGCGTGTTAAATTAGACGTAAATGGATATAGCTCTTATATTTGCGAGGAGAAAAAAAGATACAGGTTAATATGTCAAGGAATCAAAATTGAGAAAATTTTTTTGTAAGAATATACTATTTTGTTCACGAGAAGGCCTCATTAAAAAGATCTCCGACTGTTTCTTTTCATAGTAGCAATAGCTAACAGTCATCTTAACAATTTTCTTCATCGGAAACATTGTTCTCAATAGAGAACAATGCTATGATTTTCTTCTTCTACTTCTTAGTACATTCAATCGAATATTAGTGAAATCAATATTTATCCGTAATCATACTAATTACTGTCGACATATAAAATATCTTTATATATATATATATACATATTTTTTTAAATTCTATTCTATAGGCATTGGGCATCTTTACGTAATTTAGTCGTATCACTCTTGAGTAGTATGCGATCTATTGTCAGTCTACTGTTTCTTCTCTTCTTATTCATTCTTATATTCGCTTTATTGGGTATGCAATTATTCGGTGGCGAGTAAGTTAATCTCTTTTCTGTCTTATTAAACATTTCTAAATATTTATATATATATTATTTTCTTTTGCGTTCGTATCGAATAGATTTAGTTTTGAAGATGAAACTCCATTACAAAATTTTAATAAATTTGCCACTGCACTAATAACTGTCTTTCAAGTAAGAGAATAATGCGTTGGTTTTAAGAGAAACAAAACAAAGAATATTGATTTCTTCTTTTTGTCAGATTTTGACTGGTGAAGATTGGAATGAAATCATGTATAATGGAATTATATCGCAAGGAGGAGCCAATGGTATAGGAATGATCTATTCGCTTTATTTCATTATTCTTGTCTTATTTGGCAATTGTAAGTAGTTTCATTTGATTGTGTATTTTTTATTTTAATATCTATTGAATTTGAAATAATTAGATACATTATTAAATGTCTTTTTGGCTATTGCTGTCGATAATTTAGCTAATGCACATGAATTAACAAAAGATGAAGAAGAAGAACAAGCAGCTGAAGAAGAAGTAATCGGATTAAATGATTATTTCTTTTGACAGTTTTGAACATAAATCCTAATCTGATATTTTTTTTAGAAACGCGAACGTGAATCAAAGGATGTCGAATCGATGTTTAAATTAGGTGCAGCACAAGCAGAAGCAGCAACAACAACAGCGGCGACGACGACGACGGCAGCAGCAGCAGCAGCAGCATCAAATGCAAAAGCAAAGAAAAACGAACCAGAAACAGCTCTGAATAGAAATAATCCTCAACAAATGTATTTCAATGAACATACTAAGATATTTGTTTTAATCATATTTATTTTATTTTCATTTTTTAGTGCAAAGAAAGGACATGTTGACAATACTGCTAAGATATCTTTTGATAATCAATCTCCGGCACCATATAATTCATCAAGTTCAAAAGCAAATACAGATTTTTTAGATAGACAACTATTTGAAAAAGCAGATTTAGATTATATACCTGGCTTAGATTATGATCTCGGTCCAGTTTTTATTCCAAGTAATATTCTATTTTCTTCGTTATTCGAAATAGAGAACTTTAATTTGATCTTTTTGTTTTGTTTGAATAGCATCCTTAGATCAATTGCCAGGACTTGATCAAAGTGCTGCAGCTGCTAAAGCTCGTGCTGAGGAAGAAGCAAGAAAAAAACGAGAAGCAGCTGCAGCAGAAGCCGATGCTAAAAGAAAAGAACGAGCAACACGTGTTGTTAAACCTATTCTTCCATATAGCTCAATGTTTATATTTAGTAGTACTAATCCGTATGTAGAAAGACACAGAGAAAAAAACTATATTCTACTGGTTTTATTTTTGGTATTTATAGTATTCGTCGACTTTGTCATTTTATTGTTACTCTTCGTTATTTTGAATTACTTATAATGATTGTCATATGCCTTAGTTCAATATCGTTAGCTGCTGAAGATCCTGTACATGAAAATTCCAATCGTAATCTTATACTTAATTATCTTGATTACGCATTTACTGGCGTATTTACTGTTGAATTATTACTCAAAGTCTGTTGATCATCTATTAAATAAATCATTTCGATAATTTCAAATCGTTATAGATCGTCGATTTGGGTGTTGCACTTCACGAAGGAGCCTACTGTCGTGATGTATGGAATCTACTTGATGCTCTTGTTGTTATTTGTGCGTTAGTCGCGTTTGGTTTTACGTAAGAAAATCTTCATAATTACGATGTTTTTCTTTTGTATAAATAATGTATTTTAATAGGGAAAATGGAGCCGGTAAAAATTTGAATACAATCAAATCTCTACGTGTTCTTCGTGTATTACGCCCGTTAAAAACTATAAATCGTGTACCTAAATTAAAAGCAGTATTTGATTGTGTGATTACATCATTATCTAATGTTTTGACAATTTTGTAAGTTTATCTTCATTTTTCTTTTGAATTTTTTTATAGTATTTAAATTTTCTATCATAGAATTGTATATATGTTATTTCAATTTATTTTTGCTGTCATTGCTGTACAATTATTTAAAGGAAAATTCTATCGATGTTCGGACTTATCGAAAGTAACACCAGAAGAATGCCAGTTCGTATCGATAATCTTATTCTTTGCTTTGTATATTTCAATTATTGTTTATGATTTAATAGAGGAAACTATTTTGACTTTGGTAATGGAAAACGTAAACCAGACTGCAAAAAAAGATCATGGGATCCATATGATTTTACCTATGATAGTGTACCACAAGCTATTCTAACTTTATTTACAGTACAAACAGGTGAAGGATGGCCAACGTAAGTTATTTTCGTTCTTTTGTAATGGATAACAAATCTTGTTTGCTTTTTGTTTTGTTTAGTGTCTTACAACATTCAATTGATGCTACTGGTATTAATCGTGGTCCTCAGCCGGGCCATCGACTTGAAGTAGCAGTGTTTTATGTGGTTTATTTTATTGTATTTCCATTCTTTTTTGTCAATATTTTCGTGGCCTTAATTATTATAACATTTCAAGATCAAGGACAAAAAGAATTAGAAGAAGCAGAAATTGATAAAAATCAAGTAAATTACATTGATTTTTTGTTAGATTCATCTTCAATTGAGTATCTTTTGTTTTTCAAGAAATCATGTATTGATTTTGCATTGAATGCTAAACCAATTCAACGATGTAAACCAAAACAAGAAGGTTCATTGCGTTATCGCATTTGGCAATTATGTACATCATCATACTTTGAATTTTGTATTATGGTTATGATTGCACTGAATACTTGTGTACTCATGGCAAAAGTAAGTTTACTATTCAATAGATAAAACTCGATAAATTTTATTTCATCTTGTTTCAACAATCAACTTTTGAATATTTGTATTTTGTTTGTTTTGTTTCTATAGTACTATCGTAGTCCATCGACTTATAATGATATATTGACATATGCTAATACAACATTTACAGCTCTATTTACTGTTGAGAGTATTCTGAAAATTATTGCGTTTGGTTTAAGAGTATGTTAATCATAATACAAAGAAATATGTTTATAGAATAAAATTATATTTTAGAATTATTTTCGTGATAAATGGAATGCATTTGATTTTATTACAGTACTTGGTAGTATTGCTGATGTACTCGTTACTGAATTTCGAGTATGTTTGTCAATAATAATAATAATAATAATAATAATAATATGAAAGTTTATTGATTTGTGTTTTAGCTAACTAAAGCAAATGTCGCTCTTTCAGTTGGTCCACAAAAACATAAGGTATGAATCGAAAATTAAATTCATATTCAAAAATGATCGGGCCGGGTCAATTATGATATTATGGTTTCTAAGAGAGTTGAAAAATATTTTTCAAAAGAAATCCTACATATTTACCAGAGTTTTTTTCCTCCTATTTCACTCATTTTATGATTAGGAAATGAAAAGATTATTTCTTAGTTGAGAAAGTTCGTGACGTTATGACATTCAAGAAGTCGATTTTCTCAAAAGGAAAACAGTTAGGTAGCTTTGTTCGATTTTACTATTTCTGAAATAGGATCTAAAACGTGTACAGAAGTATAGCAGGTGAAAAATCGGAACTCCATAGTATATGGCAAACAGTACATTAATAAAAATATGGTAAAAACTAATGAACTACTTCCTATTTTGCAAAAATCTCTCGAGGATTCAGTAAAAGGATGTTGAACTAATGTATCGCAAACGGGAAAGAATAAAACAGTTTATCTGTGACAAGTAACAGTAGCTACGTACATCATAGTTCACATTTTGATCCCCTCAAGAATCGCGTTAACAGCTTTTTTATCTAATTTCTTCTACCAAAAAACATCTTTAATATATTCAAACAATTTCAATATTAAATGGATAATCTCTAACCAGCCATGAGCAAAAAAAAGGAGGTTTCAATAGCATCTAATCATAATTCAAAACTAATTAACATAGAAACTTTTTTAATTGAAATTAATAAAAAATTATTAAATTCAACACTACGTATTTCGTGTTATTTGGTTCGACCAGATAGTTCAAACTTATCTGTTATTCTATTTGTAGAATACGTTGCTTAACTTGGGTTTTCTTCGTTTATTTCGTGCGGCTCGTTTAATAAAACTTCTTCGTCAAGGTTACACAATTCGTATTTTACTTTGGACATTCATGCAATCATTTAAAGTACAAACAAAACTTTTTCTTGTTGGAATTTCGATTTCTAAAACACACTTATTTTTCAGGCTCTACCCTATGTTTGTCTATTGATTGCAATGTTGTTTTTTATTTATGCTATTATTGGCATGCAGGTATAATATGTTTATTTCTTTTTAATTTATAGTTTTCATTAGTTGACCAATTGTTTTGTAATGAGTAAAAAAGAAAATTTGATTTAACCTGCAGATGTTTGGTAATATAAAAGTCGATCATGGATCGGCAATACACAATCACAATAATTTTCAGAACATTTTTCAAGCTACACTCGTCTTATTCAGGCAAGAGAATCACTTCTCTAGATCATATTTATTCATTCATTCATATTTTCATTGATTGAAGTAGAAAATTCTTTATTTTTTTTTTCGCATTTTATCTATATAATTTATTATTATTATTATTTTCGTGTCATGTGATGGTAGTGGTCAAGTTTAGTTTTTTTTTTTCTTTTCATAAGTTTTTATTATTATTATTATTATTATTAACTTTTGCATGTGATATAATATTTCTTTTTTGTTTACCTATGAAAAACAAAGGTTTTTGGAAATGTTCGTCATGAATCGAGTACAGCCGAGATAAATCGACACAATAATTTTTCCAATTTTTTTTATGCTTTAATGCTCTTGTTCAGGTATTTGTGATTGTTGTAGCTTGATATATGCTTTCTGTTTTAAAAATATGGTTGTTCTGTATTTAATTTAAAACCTTTGCGATACTATTTAGATGTGCAACAGGAGAAAGTTGGCAGGCTGTTATGTTAGCATGTAAAGCTGGAGTTGAATGCCAACTTCAATCTCACACTCGAGGATATAATCAACCCGCAACTGTATATACGCATCCATCAGCAGGATCAGCATGTATTGCAGCGTCACCGCCAAAACATGATGCTACTTTTGGTAGATGTGGATCAGATTTTGCATATCTTTATTTTTGTTCATTTGTTTTTCTTTCGTCATTTTTAGTAAGTATAAAAAAGCAATGATTGTTTGAAATAAATATAACCTGTGCATTTTTATTTAGATGTTAAATTTATTCGTTGCGGTTATAATGGATAATTTTGATTATTTAACAAGAGATTCATCTATATTAGGTGCACATCATCTAGATGAATTTCTTCGTGCTTGGTCCGAATATGATCCAGATGGAACGTATGTTTTTTTGTTTCTCATGAAATATTATTATCATAGAGCTATGTGTTATGTGTTTAAATAGAGGAAAATTAGAATATACAAAAATGTTCGAAATGTTACGACTTATGTCACCGCCTGTTGGATTTGGGACAAAATGTCCATCGAAATTAGCTTATAAAGTAAGTAAATGTTAATATATTTAATTGAATCGACAGCGACTGATCAGATAAATAAAATAATTGCTAATGTCCGTATTGAATTCAAAGACTGACCATTATATAAGCTCAGTAGAAGAATGGCAGAGTTTAAATTTTATTAAAAATAGTATCAAACAGAAATAGGACTGAAAATCCAACTTCGCGAATGGTTGATATTAAGCTTTCATCTATAAATTTTGTTTAGGACATCAGTCAACTGAGATGATTTTCTCTTCACAATTGAAATGTACAATTTGTAAAATATTTTAAATTCTTAATTTAGCGTTTAATTCGTATGAATATGCCTATTGATGATAAACGTCAAGTTCATTTTACTACTACACTCTTTGCACTTATTCGTGAATCACTTGGAATTAAAATGAGTGCAGGTAAATTTTCTTAGAATAGTTTTGCTTGAAAACCTTAATGCATTTTGTTTAGCTGCTGAAGAGATGGATGAAGCTGATAATGAACTACGTGACGTTCTATGTAAAGTTTGGCCTAATCATGCAAAAAAGCATATTAAATTACACGAAGGTGGAACGAAACCATTACTCGATCTGGTTTTACCACCTAAAAATGGTAGGAATATATTTTTGTTTTTCTATAAATAGAAAAATAGTAATAATTTTCATTGTTTTGTCTTTCAATTAGAATTACATGGTATACCTGGTTATCCAAAATTAACTGTTGGCAAAGTTTATGCTTTATGTTTATACATTGACAATTATCGTTCGTATAAGCAAGGACATACGAATGATACTGTAAGTCAAAATTACAAAAGTTCTTCTTTTGTTTTTATTTGCGCTTTGTGTCAATATCGAAAACAACAAGTCGTTAATCATTATATATAGATGACGAGCAAAAGCAGCAGTAGTCTTGCATTACTGTCAACTGATGACGAGGTCAGTTACGCATGGATGGATGCTTGCAGAATACCAGCATTTTAATTTAATTTTAATTTTAAATCGATAGAAAGAAAAATGAAATCTTTCGATTAAAAAAAAACACCTATGTCATGTGTTTGATTCTTTTTATTTTATTTTATTTTTCTTCTTATGAGCAATTTTCTCAGCATGACAATTTATTTTCCTTCTATCCTCTTACTATTCCTTTAACATTAAGTCATGTTTAAATCGTATAATTCAACCTAATCTTCTTCTTCTTCTTCTTCTTCTTCTTCTTCCACTACTACTTAATCTGATGAAAATTTTTGTTATTGATTATTAATATGTTAAATCATTTTTTTGAATTTTATTGATATTCATAGGGCTTCAATTTAAATCGTCTAGTATCAGCACTTAAAGAACGTGTTCATTCAAGAGAAGGTATTAATGAATATGATGCTGATGGAAAACGATCATCATTTCGTCGATCCGGAGGAGGAAGTGGTGGAGGAAATCGATCATCGGTAAAATATAATCAATTTTTTTGTATCGTTTATATAATCTCCGAAGATCATATCCTAAGTCGTTTCATAAGAATTTTAACTTGATCATTTTTCATTTAGAACTTTGACAATATGTTTTTGAGTAAAAATAAAGTTTCTTCAAGTCGCCGATCCAGTGCTGTCATGGAAAATGGGCATATCATTACTAAATCTTCAAATTCACTGGGCGTTGACGAAGCACACCGAACAAATAATCATCCAAATATAGATAGCCTTTCAAATCAACATCACTATGGTAAAACATTAAATGTACCCGATCTTACCAGTACTCTTCATGCCTTACCAATTGTTACACCACCGGCACCAATAAATCCACCTCGGCCAGCAATCATGACAACACCCAAATCAACAATGATTTCGATTAAAAACCCTTCAAATTCACTGGGTTTATCGCCTACTGAGACACGACCATTATTACTCGTTACAACAGAAAATGATCAACAACATACGAAAACAGTCACAGTCCCTAATGGACGCCGTCTACCTTTAAGTGTTCCAGTAACATCACGTGCACCGGTAGTAACTAAACAAGCAACATTACCAAAACACAATGATCATCAAACTATACGTGAAACAACAACAGAAAAATTATCATCAAAAAAATATATTAGTAGTCGACCGCGACCAGCACTGTTCTTTTCATCAACAAGTATAATTCGAAATGAAAAAACTACCAAATAAAAGAAATTTCTTTATTGATATGAATTATTTATTTAGGAGCTCCTGATCAATCACCTGAACAGCATCAACCGTTACTAGGTAGTAGTGGAAATGATACAAGCAGTCGTCATGATTCAATTGATTCACATACATCAACTGATGATGGCTATGGATTAAATGAAAATTGGCCACTAAGGACAAGGTTATTTGAATTTTTCCTTAAATGAAATGAATTCAATCTCTTTTGTTTTTAATATTCCAGTATGATAGGAGCACAAACTCGAATAGTATCAATTAACGATTCGTTGCCATCGGCCAGTATAGCTCAACCTCGACCACAAGCCAATGCGAATAATTCTCGACAATTACCATCTTTGCCAATGAATATACGACAATTACCATCATTGCCTAGCTCATTACGACAATCACCAAACATTGATAGTTCAAATTCGACAAAATTATATTTTAATATTGAGGACACAGAAAATGATGATGAAGCTTTAACAACAAAACTTGCACGTCCTGGAGAATTATTCTACTATCAAACTTCGACATCTTCGTCATCATCTTCGTCAGCATCGAATTCAAATAATTCATCATCTGAGAATTCTGATAATGAAAATAACCGAGAACCATTTGAAAATCGTAATCAGGAAGTAGAAGGAGAAGAGGAGGATGAGGATGAGGATCGAATTTCGCCATGTGAATACGAAGCTTAAATTTTGTTTTTTGTTTGTTTGAATAATAAATGCTATAAAAAGAAATTTCTTGATTTTTCAAGAGAACAAGGTAACGCGATGTTAGCACCGCCAACCCTCTACTGAAAGGATGTAGTCATGTAGAACGTATAGCTATCCAAAACTATCTAGCTGAGAGACTTCACGTTTTATAGCTTCGAAATAATTTTCATGAAAAACATGATTGATAACCGAGCATAAATAGAAAATTTGCTTGGAAATATCATCAACAAAACGGCATTTCAGTAATACTTACTAATACTATATGGCACCAGTGAAGTTAAGTGCATCCGATCTGCTATAGCTCAACCTTCGCTCCGAAAACTTTCGATCAGCTTGCTAACGGAGTGAAGAAAAAGACCCATTCAGGAACGCTATGATCGAAATACCACATTTTAGTAAAGTTACAACTCAAATTGGTCTATGAACTAGATATTTAACATGAATCTGCACGAGTAGATCAGAAATTAAATCAAACTGACTTTTTCTAACTCGATTTCGGTTAGATTTGTCCTCATTTTTGCTCAACCTCATGTCGGTTCATTTTGTTTCGGTGCGTTTCCCGTCTAGAATGGATATATTCATTCTTGGGTGCACGTTCACACATAGATAAACCTAAGATTTACATCTTTTGAACCAAACCCACACCCAATCAGGAAAAACTAAACTTATTAAGATAATCACGACAATTATAAATTTCAAATATTTCACACGAGTTGAGCAATTATTTCATGACCGTTCTTCGAAAGAACTTGAAGATATTCATCATTTTCGAAAATTTTTTCAACTTCTCTGATCGAGACAACGTGTAACTATTCTATAAGTCTGCGAGGCCTGTAGTCTTATAATCGCAACAGATTTTTAACTGTGCGGCTAGTCGCTCGTCGGCGCAACTCACAACTAGTCGCCCCCGCTATTTTTGTGTCATATATGCGGTGAACGTGACCCTTTCAAACACGGCATGATTGATTGAACGCTTCGCCTCATTCTATAATTATTAGTTGAAAACAAAGAACTTTCAAAAAACCCGAAAATAATAGCTGTGGGACTAATTTAATTCAGTTTCATCTACATATGCGATAAATTCCTCACTATTTAGAGAAGAATGAGACAAGATTTCCGAGTACTTATCCAGTTCGCGTCCGTTCGTAGATGCGCTAATCTAGAATTCTAGGAGTTAAGTTTGAATAAATTCTTCGTGCTACAATAAAAGTTTACATATCAAGCATAAACTGAAGACTTTGAAAAAAAGCCTTCAACATCTTAGTGCAGGTGAGCGGCTAGTCGTTGCCAAATTGAGAATCAATTCCACCGCAAGATGCCTATAGCTTATTCGTAATAAGATCTCACATAACCATACGATCCATAATCCACTCTCCTCCGACGACTCCCCGGGGAGTCCCCGCAAAATAACGAAATCCCTGGGGATTCTTCTAGGGAGAGTTGACTAGGGATACATCTAACACTATAAACATCATCGAATGGTGCCCTTAAAAAATTTCCCTACAAAGAATTCCTATCACGAAAATCGGACGATCTAAGCAGCTCCTAATGCATTATAAACTTGCTTGAACTACAAAATTTCAAAAAACTAACAACACCATGGTGTTCCCCGACCCAGGTTATCTTCGATCAAACCTATCCCTACAGATATTGTTTGAGGTTAGTTAAGTGTATATATCTGCTTTCCTATTGGACGAACGAACGCATTTAATTCGTTTTTCGTAATACTCTCCTTTCAGTGGAGGGAACAATCAATTGAGTTTAAAGAATGGGCTGTTTCAAACAGGAAATAGAAATGATAGCAACATTTCTAGTGTTCTTATAGGAAATGGTATACTTATAAACTTCCTACTTCTTTTGTTGTAATTTAGTTCATGTAGAAAAAAAGAATTACTTGCGGAAAAGCTGTTTGTTCACATTTTGAATATACGCCAAATTAATAAATCATTTTGGTTGTTTAAAAAAATTATATTATTTATTTATTTATTTATATTAAATTAATTAAGAAAATTCTTTGACACAAACTAGTGTTTTCACGCATGCTCTTTTCCGACTGTCAACAAATATATTCAGCTAATTATCAAAAGGATGAATATTCAATAGTATAACTTCAATTTCAAAGTGATGAGTATAAAAAAACAGATTTAGAGTATAACTTCAAATATCCTATTAATTTTCGTTAACAATCTATCTTGTATAATGGACATCAAATAATAAATAATTTAAAGAAATACAATACAGAAATGAGTCGTTCAAAACTTTCATTTTTACCAAATATCACCATAGTTACATAAGTTATTATTTACGTTGTTCAACCATCGCTTTTGTTTCTTTAGTCTTCTACGTACATCGCATTCATGATTTTAGTCAGAACTTAATACGTTGCTTGAGATTTTGTATTATGAATGATTTATGGGTGATCTTTATTCAACATGATATATTTGCATGAAAGCAATCTTTTGTTTTTATAGAAAAGATACAAAACAGGTTTTACGAGGCAAACTGAAAGTATGGTGTCAGACTTAATAAATTTTCTCCGTTGGACTCTCAAACAGTACGCGATGTAGAAATCTACAACTCAAAATCTGTCACTAGCTAGAACTTCTTTAGATTTTTGTGATAAAGGCAGACTTGTCTAACTCATTAACTTTACACAATATCTACATCATCTTTATCAAGAATACTTTCAAGTACAATCTTACGAGTTATTCAATCTTCACAGCATTATTTAGTTTAGTAGAACTTCAAGGCCAAAAGCAAAATATCATTTATCATGTATCAATTTCCATTTAATAATCAGTGTACCAATTCAAACTCCTTCGATTTAAATGTGACATATAGTATCAAGAAAAAAATGAATCTTCTATTTAAAAAGGCAATAGTGAGAAAATGTTAAATTCTCCATAATACGGAGAGGAATTCTATAGATTAAGTCTTTCAAGATACTTCAAATCTTAATCTTTTTGAGCTTATTTACTGATGTATTAATGAGCAATTAGTAAAACGTTGTCATTCCGATTATGATCATAGGATGTTGAAAGTATTATTCAATTCAAAAAATACAAAGTCCTCATATCCTACAAAAAGTTTCACTGTTAACAGCCTTTCGCGTGCATTAATAATATTATCAGTGTCGTGTATACACTTTTTCTTTTCATTTCGTCATCGAAAGTAACTAAGAAACAAGCGGAAATGTAAAACATTAAATAAATGTAGCTCATGCAAAAACATTTAGGTACAGCTACATTGTTTTTTTGTTAAAATGATTCAAATTGTACTCCAACTTCATCATCAAAAATACAAGAAGACAAAAATAAATATCATTTCCCTCATTATATAGAAGTGAAGTTGTTTCAGATAGCTTAATTGAAAAACTTTTTTTTATCACTTCACAAGTTGCATCAGAAATGTATTTTACATAATGCTTTTCCTTAGCAAAAAACCTGAAAAGTTGCCATGTAGAAAAAAAGATTTTTTTATACATTTATTATTTATATTGCAATCTTTTTAGCAAAACTCCAATGTAAATATATTAACCTTATTCACTGTTTTTTTTTAGAATTAAATATTATCATCGCTATGGTAACAAACATGTTGATTTCCCGTGTGTAAAAAGAAAATCTATCCTAGTCATCTCACTTTCTCTTTTTTTTCTATTTACTCTTTTTGATATCCATATGACGAATGAGATGTCTTTGAAAAACAAGAGAAAACCAAGCTTCAATATACAATGCAATGACATACGAGACATGTTGTCAGCTACACGATATGCACATCTTCAAACTTCTTCTCATACTTTCTCATATCGCATTATTTTCTTTTTCTCTTTTCTTTCTCTTTTTTCGTCCGTGAGGCTTTGTGGATTTTATATATATATATATATATACATACATACATATATATATAAAGAAGCATGAATCATTCATTCATTGATATGCTCCTTCGTCCTCCTTTAGGCTGTGCGTGCTAGTGTTTAAGCAATGCGACTATGCCGTCCGTCCGTCTTTCGGCCTAACTATGAAGGGGTGAGCGCGAGAGAGAGAACGAGAGAAAAATAGAGACCGACATTCGTAGACTACTGTTCTTTCACTTTCTTTCACTGTCTCTCACTCTCTCTCTCTTTCTCTTTCTTGCTCTCATCGCTCGCTCTCTTTTTTTTATATTATCTCGTCGTCCGTCGAGCATCATTACATTTGTCTGTCGTTGCAGATCAACGTCTCTCGCACTTTCGATTCGTCTAACACAAAAACAACCACTACAAAATGCGTGAAATAGTTCACCTTCAAGCTGGTCAATGTGGAAACCAAATCGGCTCTAAAGTACGTAAAAAGCCTTTGTGTTGTGCTTAAGTTTATACTAAGTAAATACACCAATCCCATGTTTCCTTTTGCCCTCATTTCTCGGTTCTTTTTTTTCTTCTATTTGTCGCAAGTATTATTAGATGCTCCTACTTAACTTGTTGTTTACTATTTTTTCAACAGAAAATATATTAACGAATAACCATTATTTAGCAACATGCATCAACCGAAATAATCAGCTTACTTGTTACATGTAAGCAATTGATGCACATTCTTATTTCTTCGAAACGATATTATTTGTACCAATTCATTATGACCGTTCTATTTTTTTGCAGTTTTGGGAAGTGATATCCGATGAACATGGTATCGATCCTACTGGTACATATCATGGCGATTCTGATCTACAACTTGAACGTATCAATGTCTATTATAATGAAGCAGCTGGTAAAATCATTGGCTCACAATAAACATTGCGTTTTAATCCCTCTTGTATTGTAGGAGGCAAATATGTACCTCGTGCTGTTCTTGTTGATCTTGAACCAGGTACAATGGACTCCGTTCGAAGTGGTCCATTCGGTCAACTCTTTCGACCAGATAACTTTGTTTTTGGTATGTACATTACGATTTCGTAAAATTCCGATCATAAAGAATTTAACGCAGCTATTGTTGATCTAACATCTGTTTTCTTTATCGTCGTATAGGTCAATCTGGTGCTGGTAACAATTGGGCCAAAGGTCACTACACTGAAGGTGCTGAACTCGTTGATTCAGTCTTGGATGTTGTCCGAAAAGAAGCCGAATCATGCGATTGCCTTCAAGGCTTTCAGTTGACCCACTCGCTCGGTGGTGGTACTGGATCTGGAATGGGTACTTTACTCATTTCAAAGATCCGCGAAGAATATCCAGATCGTAAGAATCAAATAGGAAAACTGAATAGCTGTAGTCATCCATTTGTTTGTGTTTAGGTATCATGATGACATTTAGTGTTGTTCCATCACCAAAAGTATCAGATACTGTTGTTGAACCTTACAATGCAACACTCTCGGTCCATCAACTCGTCGAAAACACCGATGAAACATACTGTATCGACAACGAAGCTTTATACGACATTTGCTTCCGTACATTGAAACTAACAACACCAACCTATGGCGATCTCAATCATTTAGTTTCAGCCACCATGTCTGGAGTAACAACCTGTCTCCGATTTCCAGGTAAGAACGAAAATTGATTTCATGTGACTAATAATTTTATTTCGTTTTTCTAGGTCAATTAAATGCTGATTTACGTAAATTAGCTGTTAACATGGTTCCATTTCCACGTTTACACTTCTTCATGCCTGGTTTTGCTCCATTGACATCTCGTGGTTCTCAACAATATCGTGCATTGACTGTCCCAGAACTCACGCAACAAATGTTCGATTCTAAGAACATGATGGCTGCATGTGATCCTCGACACGGTCGCTATTTAACTGTAGCTGCAATCTTCCGTGGTCGTATGTCAATGAAAGAGGTCGATGAACAAATGTTGAACGTACAAAACAAAAATTCATCGTACTTTGTTGAATGGATTCCAAACAATGTGAAGACGGCTGTTTGCGATATTCCACCACGTGGTCTCAAGATGTCGGCTACATTCATTGGTAAGATTAGCAGATCATTTATTTGGAGCATGTTTGAATAACTGTTGTGTTGTGAATATTTGTAGGTAATAGCACAGCCATTCAGGAATTATTTAAACGTATATCTGAACAATTCACTGCAATGTTTCGTCGTAAAGCTTTCTTGCATTGGTACACTGGCGAAGGCATGGACGAAATGGTAAGTTTGATTGAATGAAGTTGAATCTATATGAAGCATATGTATATGTTTAATAGGAATTCACTGAAGCCGAATCGAACATGAATGATTTAGTTAGTGAATATCAACAATATCAAGATGCAACCGCCGAAGGTTAGTATTGAATATTGATTTTGACTTTCTTTAGATTGGTTGTTTGTTTTTTTTGTAGAAGAAGGCGGCGAAGGCGAAGGCGAAGAAGAAGAACATGCTTGAACAGTTGTAATATTCTATGGTCGACTAGGGCTGCATTCATCTGTTTAGCAATAATTGTCATTTTGTCTTATAATCATTCAATGTTTTTCTCTACTCTGCCTTGTATTGTTTGTCATGTGAACGTGATTTGTTAATCTAATTCATGTTTGCTTCTCTTGATCAAAATATGTTTTATCCTCACTACTTCTAACTCGATAAATAAAAATAAATGTTTAATATAACGCAGAAAATGAAAACATCTTACTGTCATCTATGTCTCATTCCAGATAATGGAGGAGGAAAGATGAAGAACTTTGGAATCTGCCTGGTATTGTTAGCTATTGCTGGAGTGGAATGTTCTAATGGAGGTAAGTACATTTGCAGTGCTAATATTTTCTTATAGTATTGTTACTAATTAGCGACGAGAATAGCCCTACCGAGTGTAGATCAATTTCTATGAAAAACATTTTTGGTTGTCTAATTTGTGTGCACATTTGTTTAGATAATTCATGCAAACAGTGTCAAACCATAAATCACTGTTGATTTCGAATGACAATATATTGTTCACTTTTAGATGGCAGTAGCATAGACTTTTGTTTTTAAATAGGAATCTATTTTTTATTCGAATAGTCTCCGCGCTGATTAGTGTTAGTGTAAGAAGATATAAAATAAAATATCTATAATGAAATAATTTTCTAGCTAGTAATTATATTCTACTGATTGCTCCGCCTGAACGTGGCCATTTAAATCCAATCCTCGAATTAGCTAAACAATTAACCTTTAACAGAACTGATAATGATACTGAAATACTTGTTAGTGTACCATCCTATGCTGATGTAAATGTTTCATCGTGGGTAACTGATGAAGGTCTTAATTATATTTATAGTGGTATTGCACATGATGTTACACTCGATGATATGCATCAATTTTCATTAATGGATTCTCGAAATTTAAAAAACTATCTCAATTTTGTATCTCGTATGGCTCAGCTTTTTCATAGTTTCAATCGTGCCGCTTATGAAACACTTCTTCCAATTCTTCGTAAAAAACATGGCAAACCTCGTGTCATTATTTTCGATTTAAATATGTTATGGGCAATTGATTTAGCCGAACAGCTTGGTTCGATACCAGCTATTGTTGTTTGTCCATTTCTCATTGATGCACTCAATTTACCAAGTATGACGCCACGATGGCATACGCCATCTTATATTGTTCCTTATTCACCCTCGACATTTCTTGGTCGTATTCAATTATTCTTTTATCGATCCATAGTTTTACCTTATCAAACTCATTTTATATTTTCTCGTATTTATCAACGAAAATTTGATTATGAATATTTCATTAAAAAATATCATCTTAGCGTATTTGTTAGTACAGCACCGCCATTTGAAGTTCCACGTTCAGTTATTAATCCTGCTATTCATTTCTTAGGCCCATTTTTATATCAAAATCGTTTACAACCAATGACTTCTAATTTACTTTCATGGCTTAATGATATCGTTGAACATAATGATACACTTATCTATATAAGTTTAGGTTCTATTGGTCTTCTTACACGAGAACAATCCGACAAACTTGTGACAGCTTTTATACAATTAATAGAAACAAAGCATTCTTCTCAAATACGTGTTTTATGGGCTCGTGGTAATACTTTAAGCAGTAATGATAGTCGGTTTCGTCTTGAAGGTTTCGTACCGCAAAAAACAATTTTATCGCATTCAGCTATGCAACAGCAACGGTCACTTTATATAAATCATTGTGGTATGAGTTCAATGCATGAATCTATTGTATTCGGTATTCCACACATCGCCTTTCCACTCTTTCTTGATCAACATCAAGTTGCTCAACGTAGTGTACAATTACGTATGGGTTTATATATTGACAAAAATAATTTTACATCCAATGAATTAATTGAAAAAATCCTTTTAATTCTAAATAATCCACAAATATATCGTCGAAATACACAAAAAATAGCCGATTCATTTCGTATAAATGGTAACGGTTTAGAACGTGCTCAAAATATAATTGAATATATTAGTAAATATGGACGTGATATGCAAAAACTAATAGTATCTTATGATAGTCAGATGCATTGGATTGAAAAATATTCATTAGACATTCTTATTTGTTTTCTTTTGATTGCTTTACTTGTGTTTATTATCATACGTATAATATTGAAAATGTTGAATCGGAAGCAAAAAAAAGAATAAATAAATTGAAAATCAATTTTATGCTTGTTTTTTTTTGTTTGCAAAACAACAAAACAAAACAAAATTTATTTGACAGGATGTCAACCTTGATCATTATCTATATGATCGTCTAAACTTAACATTGTTTCTTTGTGTACATTTTGTTTTTCTTAATAATTTATTTCTGCATTTATTGAACTAACCAGTGATTTACGAGTACGCATAGATTGATGCTCTTCTGACACATTGTTAACAAAAGCTTGCGATTGATATCTATCGATATTTGGTTGTTGAGCAGATGGATCTAACATTAAAGTCGACGAATTATGATTAGTAAGTCCATTAAAAGTACTAAGCATTTTGTTTAAATAATTCCTATACCGTCGTAAATATGATACAGTACAAGAATGTTTAGAGAGTTTCTGTTTTGGTTTGCATGTATTTTCAAGTTCAGTTAATATCGGATAAGGATAATCGACGAATAGTTTATGGCATGTTGCAGATGATTGAGTTTGAACGTTACCATTTTGCATGTGTCGCTTTATTGAAAACATTGTTGATGTATCTATTTGTAGAATAAATCAGTGCACATATGAGTATTTATATATATATATATAAATACAAATATGCAAGGGAAAAGAAAAACAAAAAGGGAAAGTTATTTCGCAAATATTTTGAAACGACATAGAAGTTAGTCATATTTACACGTGCATTAATGACTAGACAGAACAGATAATTGTAAATAATTACAAAAATTTTCTTTTGCATGAATATTCATTGATTGAAATGATTGGACTTTCGTGAGGTGAGCCTACTTCTGAAGTGTAGGCGAATTTACTGTGCGAACACTTTTCTCAAGAAGGAGACAGAGTACGAAAGAAGCGTACTGTGAAAGTTTCTATTGTATGATATTGATATTTCGTTGTTACAAAGTTCAAGTACAATCATTTATTTGAAATGTAAATGTGTAGAAAATAAGTAATATAGAACAACACATAGCTATTAATAGACTGGTTGAAAGCAATACCGATCAACGTGAAGTCAAGCGGGCAGTGTGAAATCAGTGCATGTATATACTATTGGATTTTAAACCCTATTTTAATTTGCTAAATTCAAATGTCAACTACAATAATCACGTGAACTCGTTCACGTTTATAATGAATTAGATTCATCAACAATCGAAATGCCCTCAAGACTAAATCATTTGCAGTTTGGCCTTGTGTGAACTCAGTTGATTCTTAAGTTTTTGTTTCCGATTATAAAATTTAAAATACCAAGTGGTGCCATCTAGTCAGAAGTTTCAACAGGTGGGAAAAGACTCTTGAATGGAAAATTTTCGTTTTTTCTTTTAACAAAGAAATATACTTTAGAAATTTGCGTACTATTTCGAATCCTATTTAACAAAAACTATGTGTAACCAAGATAATCCCCTTTTGAGCTATTCATCCATAATGGTGAAACGTACTCGTATTTACTGACTTTCATAGACATTCAATACATCATAATAAAAAAATTCTGTCATGGCAGAATTAGATACATCAGCCCCTGCTGATAGTGAACTAATTCTAGTCAAAGATCGTTACAAAGTAATAAAAGTACTTGGTCGTGGCAGTTACGGTGAAGTATGGCTTGTGTCACCACTTGAATCGAGTACTGGGAGTAAAAGTAAACCACGCCGTTGTGTACTGAAACGCATCAGCATTGGACGTTCAAATAATGAAAAAAACGAACTTGCTGGTGCCGAACGTGAAGCTCAATTACTATCATCTCTCAGACATCCGAATATAGTTTCATATATTGAATCCTTTCGCTCGCGTGATCATCATTTAAATATAGTTATGGCATTTTGTGAAGGCGGAGATTTATATACAAAAATAAAATATCGTAAAAAACAATTACTAAATGAAGAACAAATCATTGAATGGTTTATACAAATAACACTTGCATTACAATATATGCATGGTCGATCAATATTACATCGTGATTTGAAGACACAAAATATTTTTCTAACTAAACATGAAATAGTTAAAGTGGGCGATTTAGGTATTGCAAAAATACTAGATAACAATGGATCAGATTTAGCTACAACTGTTATCGGAACACCGTATGTATTTTATTGCAAAAAAAAAGAAATGAAAAACAGGTCTATCAGAATAAAATGATTTTTTTTATATAGATACTATATGAGTCCAGAGATATTTTCAAATCAACCATATGGTCAAAAATCAGATATTTGGGCACTTGGTTGTTGTGTTTATGAAATGGCAACATTAGAACATGCGTTTAAAGCTGGTGATATTAGTTCACTTGTACTCAAAGTTGTTCGTGGTCAGACACCATCTTTACCATCAGCTGATGTTTATAGTAAACCATTAATTGAATTAATCAATGCTATGTTAGATAAAGATGCAGAAAATCGACCAACAGCTAAGCAAATTCTACAACATCCATATATAAAGCAGCATATTGCTCATTTATATGACAAAACACGTGAACGCTGTCAATCATTTATACCAGCGCTGGTACAGGGTAAAACTTATGTTTAGCGAAGAAGCGATTCGAAACAATGATATTCATCGACAAAAGAGCTTTGCTTTTACTGAGAGAGAATATTGAAGAAAAGGAAACAATAGTATTTCCGATTGTATACGCCGATAAAAAAAAAGCAATCTATTGAAAAAGAAAAACTTTTTAATAAAATGTCATTTTCTTTTGAAAGCATTTAAACTTGCAACAAGAATAATGGAAAATTGGAAACATCCCAACTTTTTATTTGTGTACGTGAACTTACAAATTTTCTTTTTCTTTTTACTCACAGCCTACTGAACCACCGTTAGAATGTGCACCATCTAACCATTCCGATCATCATTCGATGCCTCCAATACCGAAACCGCGTGCTTCGAATCTTACAAACACCGATGAAAGTGGTAGCGAAAGACAAGATTTATCTACTCCACCGATTAGTCAATCACGTGCTCGTCGTATGAAAAATAAAACTACATCTTCCGACAACGAAACATCCGAATCTCAAGCATCAAGTGCAACTACTGCCCGTGAAGACGAAGAGAAAGAAGCAAGAATAGTTAATAATGCTTTTATAGAGAAAATACGTCAAAACGATACATTAGCACGTTTTAAACGAAATCCGCCATCATTAGTTTCTGAAGGTCAATCTGATGGTATTATCTTTTTTTCTCTTCTTCTGTACAAATATTGTTTTCTTTCTAAATCTGTTCGTAAATTTCAGATAACAGTATGCTTCGTGCAAATCTTACTGCTCGTCAACGACGACGTGAACAACGTCTTCATTCATCGATAAATACACAAGAAGACGATAATAAACCACCAACGACTCCACCTGCCTACGATCGTTCTATATCAAATGATAGTCAAATTGATTTTGTTGAACAAGAACGTAAAGCAAAGAAAGATATGAATGATTTTTTAAATCAACTTGATGCTACATTACGTTTACCAGCAGCATCAGTATCAGCATCAGTTGAAGTTCCATCGATGTTCGATCGTACAATGGTTTCAACTGCGAAATTAGAAGAACGACGTGTTGCATTAAGAGAAAATTGTCTACAAGAACTGTCACCAGAAGTCTTAAAAAGAGTTCTTGACATATTGGATCTTGTTAGTGAAACAGAACTAAAATCACAAATGCTTGCTATTTTAGGAAAAGAGCTCTATGACAAATATTGTGCGCAACTTTATTCTTTGAAATATTATGAAAATTCTATATGTACTCGACAATAATGATTTTTATAATGTATTTATTTATTTGTTTTTGTCTTCGTGGTATAATCATGAGAAGTAAATGTGATTGTTAGTATTGAATAAAATTTATTTTGTCTCTCTATGTTAACATATAATCCAAATAAAAAAAATAGTTTTATCATTTTCGTTTACAAGATAAATATTTTGAAACATTAATCAATCGATATTAGTTTTCTATGAAATAGCTGATAGAAATCTTTGAACATAGGAATCAAACAATTGTGACGTAGAAAAATTTGTTTCCCGAAATATTTGACTTAAACATTGAAGTAAGATTATATGTACAAGATGATATGAGTAAGTGGCACTATTTCGTTTTGATTGCAATGTTATATGACTTAAATCATAAAGAGACCAATTTGAAACCTTAGGATGTATATAGTATGGAAGCATATGATGTAATGAATTCACCATTTCATTAATTAGTTCTAATAAGTAAGATTGAGGATCGATTGTATGAACATCGATTACGCCAAGTAAAGCATAGAGACAACCATTAAGAACAAAAAGACCTTCGGCGGGAGATTCCAATGGATATTCTTCTAGCCAAAGATAACGATTATTGAAATAAGCTCGAGTTATATTAGATGACCACAAGGGTTGAATAGCTCGACGTACCGCGGACAAATGTTGAATATCATTGGTCAGAGAATAAAGACGAACGAGTAAAGATGCAGCTTGTCCTTTATATTTACAATTATAGTTTAAATCGTTTTCGAAAATAAAATCTACCTTGTGCCATAGCTGAACACCATGGCACTCGTATACGATATTGATGATGATTTCCGTAAGTTCGTTTTACATGAATAAACCAACAACCTGTTTTTAAATCTTGACTATGTAATAACCAACGCGTCACTGAATAAAATGCTTGTTGATTATATAATGTTTGATTGCCTACGATTAATTCATTGACAAAAGAATTAGGTTCACCACAAATTCTTATTTTAATGAAATCACTCTTAGATAAAAACAAATTGTCAATCGATTTTCGTATGTCAATTTTCATATATCGATTAACTTGGCGAGGAAAACCTGTAAGTGGAATAATTATTTTTCTTGAAGTTTTCGAATCATTGATTTTTCTTGTCGAGTAAATAAGTTCAATATCATTATCCAAAAACTGAATATGTAATGAGCAATTCGATGATATTGCAAAATGAATAAATGTATTTGAGAGATCAATTCTATTTTTGATCATATTCCATGATGAACAATAATTATCTTTATCTAATTGAATTCAGTAACAAAAATATTTGAATTACTCTACAATATCCTCAAAATAATTTACTTGGTTTTATTCGTTCGAATCTGTAAACATGATTTTGTTTAATTTTTGTATTTAATTTTAATCGACTCCAATGACTAAGACCGAATTGAGCAATTTGTATTGGATATAAATGTCCATTCAATTGCCATTGAGAAGAAACCGGTATATCTTAATTGAAATAGACTTACAATTACGAGACTGTTTCATAGATAGAAAAAAAAACAGACATACCATAGAAATAATCGATATGCAATACACGAGAACGTTGTTCAACATTGAAATAAGCAAAATTTAGATACGATTCACGCGAATTATATTTAAAGTTCGATGAAAGTATACGATAGGTGTGATTTTTCGCATGAATTATCTAGCGAAAAGACGTATGATATTTTCAGAGATTTTTCTTAAATATTTACTATAAAAGGTGACTGATCGTTTATGGTTTGAGGACCTTTGCCAATTAGTTGATAGAGAATAACTAGTGAAACTATTGCCAGTAGAAAAAAGATCAATCGTCGAACACGACATCGCATATCTACTAAAACAAAAACAATCGATATTAAATGTTAAGTTTTATTTAATGTTTATCCTATTCTAACAGAATTTCAATTAATTATTGTTTGAAAAAAAAGAAAAAAGAATTTTCAAAACTTGCATGTTCCTATTTATTTGATAAAAGAAAAACAAAAGAAAAATCAATAACAAAATCTGAATATACATTTATTTTGAAAAGGTAATAATAAAACTAGGACTAATTATGGAAAGATTTTTCGATGATATTTATCATTAGCATATTTATATAGAGCTAAACATTCTTCAAGTAATAATGGTTTCCATTTTGTGTATTGATCTTCATCAGAATATTGTTTATATAAACGTTTTAATTTGTCATTTTTATGTTCGCGTCGATCGGATGTTGAACGATAATGTTTTCGTTTTGAAGATGATGTTGATTGTTTTTCAAATAATAATTTTTTTTCTTCCATAAATTGTTCTTTTTTCCCTTTTCGTTTTTCACGCCCATACTGCATTTTATTCGAACATACTATGACTTTTCTATCAGATGATGGCGGTGAACGAGTTCGATCTCGTGCTGATTTTGTCGTATTTTGCTTGTGCGGTTCGATTTCTGGTGAAGATTCACTTGTTCGATTTGTTGTCTTTGGCCTAAAGAATGGATTGATGAGGATTTTAACCGTTTTGGGTTCTGGCAGATCGATCAGCGTTGATGAAGGTTGATATGAAGGGTAATCAGAGCCTACTAGAAAATAATCAATATTTATGAAAGTTTCGAAATTAGAACTAATAAGTCTACAATGATAATCATCTGTTGGAGTTTGATAATAATCGAACATTGATACTGAACTTGAATTGTATTGATAATCACAAGGAATTGGAATGATTGTTCTCGGCAGCATTGATGGCTCATAGAAAGCTTCATATGGTGATAATAAATGCGAAGATTCCTGATTGTATGAATTCGAAATAAAATATGACATGTCCAGAGTAAGGTAGAAGAAGAAATTTCAACTGCAAAAGAAAAGCTTCACTATGAAAAATAATCGATGCAAGAATTTTAACTGTTCAGAAAAAAGAAACGAACGGAGATTATTACTATTCTTGTCTTCGAATGACAGATATTTGTATCTTTTTAATCAATAGATGACGCTGATCGAATGTTAAAATAATTTTTTCCGATCTCCCGCATTACAGTGAGTGGTTTATAGAGTATGTTTCTCTCTAGTCGACCCTAAACAAAAATCGACGCCCAGTTCCTCAGCGATTATTACTAATTATACGAATTCATAAAATATTGAACTAAAGAACAAGCATTATACTTGTCACGCTTATTTCTGTTTCAAAATAGGGTTGTTGCTCTGGTAGAACGATAAAATCATCATCCCACATCTAGCTCGTCATCGAAACATGTTTTCGATCAAATGGTATTATTATTTACGTTTTGTTAAATTGCAATGAACTACTTTCATCCCAAGTCAACCCCACACCACATTATTTATGTTCATATATATTTCTTCTCGCGTCGTGTCTTCTCTCTTTTCGTTCTATTCGTGAAGTATGTCAGCGGCATCTTGGCGAGTAGTGCTCGCTGACAACTACTGAATAGTCTTTGTGAGCAGACCCTACTGGTGCGAAAAGTGTAAAGACAAAACAAAAGGAGCGTTACAGGATTGCCAGACTACAATACGAATTGCATTTCAAAAAAGGGTAACCGTTCTGTTCTGATCACAGGCATGTTGCGATGACGATTTACAGCGGATTGATGATTGCATCAGTCTGCCAGAGCAACATATTCTATTTAAATGAAGGAAAATAAACTGTCTATCTCGTTCGACTGGCTGGCCGATATTGTGGTGGAGTGCACTTTTGTATAAGAAGCCTCTTTGATCGACAGTAAGGTCTACATTGTACAATGGTTGAAATGAAAAGCATCGATGTAATATAGATTTACGGATTTTTAACAACATTATATTGAGTCGTCATGATAGTTTTGATGCCTCTTTGAGTTAAATTTCCGTAACCACCATGACCAAACAATTCTGGGTTTCGTTTTTGTTATTACATGCAAAATGTTGCTCTGGTAGGTTGTTTTGTGAACAACCCACACGATATCGTCATTGCAACAAGTCATACATCAAATGTAATCCTTTACCTCTCGTTATATTTTATAATGCTACTGTACGATCCAAATCCTCTTGGTGCCATATTTGTTTGTCTTTACACTTTCCTTACAATATAGGGACTGGTCACAAAGAACGTTTGATTGTTAGAAGACGATTGGTAGACTGTAATACGGTAGTATCTACAGTGGAGAAAAGAAGAATTCTTGTTGAATCACAATAGGTGAGAGGACACAAGAGTGGAATGAATATGAACAAAAATAGTATTGTGTTGCACATGCTCGGTAAGAAGGAATTTTATACAATACATATTATCAAGAGGTAAATCGTCTAATGGAATGAAGACACAATGTTGCGATGACGATAAAATGCAGATTGGTGTCAATGCCGATCTGCCAGAGCAGCAATAACAAATAATTGAATAAAGGTGTTGTTGGATGTTTGCGAAAGGTAGCATACAGTTTCTGTTAAGCTGAACAAATTCTTGCGGACTAGCATTTCGCCTATTGCGAATGTTTTTTTACACTTTTTTTTGTTGTCGTGTATTTATTGTAGACAATTAAAGGTAACCTATTAGATCGAAAAATCAATACGTGCCTATAAATGATCTAAATAGTTTTAAAGACACGATATCTGACTAATTCGAATCATTTGTGGTTTTATAAGATGATAAGTGCTTCATGTTCAATGAGGAAATGTCATTGTATTGTTGATAACCTAGAAATCAAAGTCATTTATGTGACCACATTTAAATTGATGTCTAGTATTGTCGTTGTGAATAATCAGTGCAGATGTCTCCTATTTCTAAACTTGAATTCTAGGAAATAGTTAATATACCTTTATACTTTTACTTGGAAGGAAAAATCGTTTAAAATACTAAAGAAAAAAATTAAAGGAAATAGGTCAATAGTTGATTGAATCAATCAATTAAGTACAGCTTCGATAATTGAGTATGGTGTTTCTGTACGATATAATTGTTTAAATCGAAAACCAGTTTGCTCACATAGATATACCATTTGATTTTGAGTACGTTCTTTTGCATGTAGCATCAACATCATATGTATGTCCAATACGTGTGCAGTTTGATTAGTGAGTTTATTTTCTTCATTTCTAGGTAGTACGACGACATCAATAATAAATATTGTTATTGGTTTTCCATTCGCGGCTGTTCCAATCGATTTAAGTATATTAATTGCTTGATCATCATCCCAATCATGAATAATATGTTTCATTATATACGCATCAGCTTGTGGAATTGTCTGTGCGTCAAACATATCTCCAGCTAGATATTGATAACGTTCTTTGGGTATGTTTCGTTTTTCAAATTCGTTATTAGCTTCTACGCTTTGAACAACACTAGCTAAATCAAAACAAATACCTTGTTTTATTGTGGAATATTTTTCCATTATACTAGCTAAAAGAACACCAAAATTACCACCAATATCAACAATTGTATTGAATCGGCCAAAATCAACACTTTTAACGATAAATTGACTACTGTGCGTTGACATACTTGTCATAGTTTCGTTGAAATTATGGGCTATATTTTTATTTTCTTCTTTTTCTATAAAATTAAAGAATAAATCGTTATTCGTTGCTCGCTGGAAACCATTTGGTTTACTAGGACCTTCACATACTAGCTGAGGTAAATAAAATAAAGTCGTTCTAGCAAGAGGACTTGACTCCCAAAGAATGAAATATCGAGCTTTACTTGGATGATTCGACGTGAGAAAACGACCATCTTCAGTTAATTGAAAACGATTTGTTTTTTCCGGTTCCATTGTTTGACTCGATTCGATTTCACTAACAATATCAGCATCAACGACTGCACGCAGAACTCGATAGAGATATTCACTATTCCATCCTTGTTTTTTTGCTATTTCATCAGCTGTTTGTGGTTCATTAGCAGCTGCAAGATGATCTGCGATAGCTAATTCTGCAAATGTCCATATTGCTGTTTCAAGTACACTATTTGCAAAAAATGCAATATATTTTGGGAAGCCTGCTGTTTGCTGCACTGCCATTGTCTACCGAATGTTTGCAGCTACGAGGTGATGTGAAGGGTTGAATGAATGTGTAAATATATTTTTATGAAATTAGAGTCAGTAACCATCGCATCATAATTGTCGAGGTAGGCGTATTTTCTTTGCGTCGACCGATTTTTCTCTTTTCATACTTTATTTACCACGAGGGATACATGAAACATAAAGTACATACAACTTTTCTGTGCACATGAATCATTTTAATGGTATGCATAGAAAAGGGCGAAATAAAAATATCGAAAATTTTAAAATAGCGTTTGGGTGTGGGTTTTCAAAACGGCAATGTCTGCAGCCACATGATTAAGATGATCGTGTCATACAATGAACAATTAGTGGAATATCATAAAGTAGCTCTAGCTATCATCAGGCTACAATTTAATACTAAATTATTTATTTAAGCCATCCTCGACCTTTTCTATACCAATCGAAGATTACATCCAAATTTACTGTGCACATGAAAGATTTTAATAATACCTTTGAAATAATACAATTATACCGCATTGCAGTTTATGTAAAAGCTGATTAATAATACTCGATCAGTTGTATATACGAAATTTCTCTCTTATTCTATACATACAATTTGTATGGAAATTGCACTCGCCCTTAGAATATGTAAAAACGAATAAATTTCAATGCTCAATATTACGGTGATCGATTATATGAATAAGCGAAAATTAAAAAACAGAGGAACTACTTTAGTTATATAACAATCTATGCAGAAAAAATGTACTCAAGTGCTTTTTGCTATAAAAATATAGTTGTTTTATCTTTAGTTTTTGTTTTCGATTCTATTTTCACCGCATAGTCACTCAAAACATGAAATAAAAAAATGAGAAAAGTCGGTAATCATCGTCAGTATGTACGCGAATGCAGCACCATGACATAAAAATAACAGGACCTTTCAGTTCTATTTCATTTAATAATTTATTTAGTTAATAGATATCAGAATCTCCATTATTATCAATGAATAGTGTAGATAAAATCGTAGAAATATTTATAGATAGCTGTGGACCATGTCGGACTCCGCTATGACAGATCAAACTTTGCATATAGAAAGAGAACAACATGTAAGAAAAAAAACTCATTTAATATATAATAAAGGATGCGTAACATAGAAAAAGTGTATGACCTATTATGTTTCATAAGTATGGACTTCAGAATAATGAAAAGGATTGGAATTCTCATATCACATTAGATATATCATATAGCTATAATTTTAGTGAAGACGATATGCCGAACGTAGATCTTTTATTGCACGGAGAAAACTTACATGGTTGGGATAAGCAATTTCTGGGTGATACTTATAAACTGTAATGCATAGCTGGGGATACACGGAGTAGCCGAGAATAAGTGTCACTCTCAATATTTCAATAATATCTTGCACAAATCTCATTACTTAAAGTCACTTTTTTTTCTAACAAATTCTTCGTGAAATTATCTACGAAATTTTGTGTTTTCCAAGAGATTTTACTATAAAAGATCATACTGAAATATCGTGTAGAGAAATCATGGCGAGCTATGATGGTGGTGCTTTTTCAAACAGTTTCATTTGTTTTTTTTCTTTATTAAGAGACAAATGTAGTTCGTGTCGTTCTGTCTTGTTAATGTCATCTCATGTTTTGTTCTCACTTTCATTACTGGAAAAAAATATCAACAGCATTTCACACTTGAATAAATATTGTAACTGAAAATTTTGGATGAGTTTTCAAAGCTCTTAATTACGTATTTTGTTTTTCTACTTGAGTGACCTTATTCAAGAAACTTTGTTTCACTGAGCACAGCGCCAAACAGCACACTTAGAAAGTGAGCTATGAAAATTAAACAAGATATATTATCGAAATACGGAGGGCGACATATTTATATCTGGGTAATCTGATAGATTTTCCCCTATTGACTACATGTTGCTAAGTCTCAAATAAGGCCTATAATATATTTATTCGAAGCAAAATCGATTCAAACCGATAACTGGGTATGTTTTTTGAGATCCATGAATAAATATAATTCATTTATAACTATTTCAGTCCCTTGACATTAGGATAATTATTTTCATATAAAAATTAGTCTAATAGAAATCTATGAATTACTTTAACAAATCATTACAGTGAGACAAATAGTAGTAAACATATGCAATGTATGGAAAAATTGGATATCTGAAATATGTTAAAGATATGTTTATAGACATTAAAAGAAATCTTCTTCAATTGTTTAGTTGAATTAAACATATATAGCTAGTTGAAAGTCGAAGGATGTGATGTTCTCTTTTCTACAAAAGTGAATTTCTATTATCATCATCAGATAATTGAAAATTTAGGAATTTTTATTTGTTCTCTTACGCCATCTTTCGATACAATCTTTTATAGGATCCATACTACTCTTATTTGATAACTTTTTTAAGATTGCTTCGAATGCAAGTTGTAAGTGATCGACGTAGTTAACTTGCAAATTCCAGCATTTTATTTTCTCTCAATTAAATGTCCATATTAATCAGCCATAAAAACGCACCAATACGTTTCATTCTTGATCGTCCATCATCACTCAATAATAACATTGATAACGATGTATCAGTAATTTATTGTCAAATATCATCGAATTTCTATTTTTACACTGCTTTACTCAGCGAGCTAGCGTCGTCATCGCAGTTTGGCAAAGTATTTTATGAACTTCTCATCAAACTCAACGACAGGCCACGTTCACTATTGAATCGAAAGCGTCTAAATAATATTTTTAGTTCTATTCATCATCGTCAAAATAGTATTTATTTACAAGTTCATAATAAAATTAATCAATACGACGAATGGATTAATCGTACTTGGTAAATTTCATTTAATTGTTTTGATTTTCAATAATTCTTTAACTATTTATTAAATAGGGCATCGATTCATTTGAATGTTTTAACTAAACGTGTTCGATATGAATCATCATGGGCATGGTTATCAACATTGGGTGGTGGTCATTCATGTCTTGGTGAAGAATCTGCACGGCACGTACGTATACAGATGTATTTATCGGCATCTAACAGATTTATTTATTTTAATGTCGAACATATTTAGGCCAAGGAAGCTGAAGCGATATCAAAAAATCAAATATGTTTATCAACTGAAGTTGGTGATCCGAATGCCCTAGTCAAATCATATCTATTTCTTTCATTAAGTTATTTACAACAAAAACGTTATGATGAAGTTCGAATTATACTCCGGTAAAAAAGAAATAAAATCATTCATGAGCAAAAGAAATAGTCTATCGCATATTTTTAGATTTCAGTATCGCCGTATTCAACAAAAGGATATTACCGATGAACGTTTACCAATTATGTGTATTGCACTATGGAAAAAAATGAAATATGCAATTAAAAGAGATAAAACCCTTGATCAATAACTCCGTGTGTTTTTACACTTTTGTGATATTAAACATGATTATGACTTATAAAAATAGTTTTTGTTTTTATTCTTCTTATGTTTTGTTTATTGTTATTTGGATTTCATCACTATAAGGACTAAAAATATCATTCGAATATCGATGTCTTTCAATCAATCGGCACTCAAGAGAGAATAATAACAGTTCAGAATTTATAGAAATTAAATCTAGTTTAAACTAATCTACGTTGACACTAGTCTCGATATTTATAGAACATCTATTTTTTTTCCATGTAGATTATATGAACAAAACACGATAGGTTATGACAATATCACTGAGTGTAAACAATCAAAAGTAGCAATAAGAAGAATCAGACTTTTGAAAATTATTCACATTTATTTTTTTTATTATCTCAGTTGGCTACCGATTTCCTTTACTGCAAAACTAAACAACAGAGGAATCACTAAGAATGAATCTCTGCTCGACGAGTTAAGCTTAACGTTCATAAAACCATGAAAAATAGACAGAAGAGTTTATTTATAAGCAACAAAGTTCGAATGAATAAAAACATAATATAAATCCGATTAATAAATGACTTTTTAAATTCATTGATATCATTCGTACACTATTTGATCTACGCGGAACAAAGTTCGGTTCTATTGCATCGATTGAATCATCGTTAGAAGTATCATCGACTTCATCGTCGTGTTCATCTTCTTCAGTTTCTTCTTGTTGTTCATCATCTTCAACTTTAATAATAGGTTTTGTTTGATATATTTGTACACGTTTATCAGTATTAAGTTTTTGTCCCGGTGCATTGAGCACCAACTTAAAAAGACTCATGAAGAAGATAATCGCAAAAAAATAGAGAATAAATTTTGACATTGAAAAGAAAAGAAAAGAAATGATTTCGTTGTTTAGAAAATTTTGTTTTTGCGCCAAATCATCAAAGATAAACCATAATTATAGGATGATTTTGTTTTCTTTCTTCATAGATAATTATTCATGATTTGGACATACAGTAAAGTTTCAAGCGTATTCATTCCGACGATTTGTATATTTATCTATTTTTTTATTTACTATACACTTTTCACTATCTGCGTTTCCTTGATATCGATCGGTATATAGATTTTTATATTAGAAAAACGAAAATTTATTTAAAAAAAAAACATTTTTTTCAAGGTTTGATCTATGGCGTGATATTAGCAATATTTCAATCAAAATCCTATGCAATTGTTAATCCTGGAAAATTAAAGAAAAAACATAACAATATAGCTAAATGGATTATAGAACAAGTTCAAGTAAATACACAAAATAGATAATTATAAATGAATTTTTATTTTTCGAATAGATATCTTCAAAACAAAATTTAAAAGAAAATACTATAGAAAAACATGAAACAAATATTGATTTAAAAGCAATTATTGATCAAATATGTGATTTACTATTCGAAGGTCTTATTTTGTCGTGGTATAAAAATGTTTCCTACGAACAATCAACATTTACTGAAGCAATCAAGTAATCATTTTTGAACATAGCACATTAAATCGATCGTATCTTGTTAGTAACATATAACATGTTCAAGATAGAGAGATCTACATGAACGAAAGCAAATTTTGTCATAGAATCAAAAATCTTAAACACACAAACCACAGGACTTAGTCATCTATCTAAATCGTTACATATCTAAAACAGTTAGCCATTTATTTTATTGCAAAGTTCAGTAGATGAAGCACACTTCTATTCTTAATACTTGAAAGGTAGATAGCTACGGGTTAGGTTAGGGTCCACAAAAACATGGACCCACAGCTCTCTAGTTGAGCAAGATATTGTAAAAGGTTCAGTTGTTATCTACTTTCTTTGGTAGTCTTAATTCATGCAAGCTTATTTTCTTTTCAGACAAGACATCCATTTAATTGTGTCAGATCTTAAAACTCGCTGTGGTCAAGTCGATTGGATTAAGTTCATATCAAATGATCTTGTTCTACTATTGGCTGAACATTATCAACAAGTTCGACGATCAATGTGTGTATTTTTAAACGACAAAATTTCTCTATGATTTTTTTGTTAACCAAAACGTAGATTGAAACCCGAAGAATATCCATTTCGTTTACATGCTTATTTAGAAACCGATGATAGTGAAAATGACTATTTAAGATATATGAGTGAATCATTATTACTTATTATTCTGCCATCAAGTTATTCGTCAACATTAGCTGTGAGACATTTATTACGGGAAATATTCGTTTTCAAAAGTAAATTAGAGAAGAAAAAATGAATAAAACAAAATTTTTATTTTTCTTACACAGTTTTTAAACCAACAATAAACTTAATTTGTGAACCTGATTATTTCAATGAAAATATTTTGTATAATATTGAAAAATTAAATTCAAATAATGAACAAAAATTGAAAAAATTTACTTTAGCATCAAATTATGAAAACTTCATAACATTGATTGAAACAAGCAACGATCTTGATAAACTCGAGCACTTTTGGTAATCAATAAAATTCAACCTATTCGTTTGCCTAATGGAAAATTTCATTTAGGAATTATATCGTAACAGAGATTATGCAAGCAACAGCAATCAGAAATCTATTAAAAGAAGGAGTTATTTCAAATGGTACGTTTGCGTGTATTTTTAAAAATACGTACTTACAATTAAATATTTCATTATTTTAAATCGTCTCTTTTTGTCGACGACTAATATACACACTTATATTTCGAAAACTGCACTTCACTTCAGAGCATCTTTTTCTGAATTCTGTTCATTGAATGGCAAATCGTTTCAATTCAAAATCATATCCTAGTGAAAAGTAGATTATATCGAATAATCATAGGAAACATATCTGACTTAATTTTCACGTGAACTAATTCGACACGTAACTCGGATTCAAAGATAGATGAAGTCGATGTTTGGTTTATTTTAATTTAGATAATCACCAAGCACGACTTGGAACTAAAGGGGAATTATTAATGAAGCGTGATTTAACGAAGTATCTCAATCAATTACGACGAGCAAAGATCGTTTGCGAACGACATATTACAGCTAATGGTGGTCGAAGTTATTTACTCGTTGATGCAAGTACGAATAAAACTAATCTCGCTAATCGAAAAGTATGTTCGCCTTTCTTTCTTGTTTTTCTTTATCGTATTAAGGAGCATCATTGATAAAAATCTTCTTTTAGATACTTCCATTAAATATGATTTTGAGTTGTATTACTGGTCGTCATTATCTGCATCGATTTTTAGAATCATTTGGTACTCATACATTAGTGAAGTAAAATATTAGACATAGAAGTCTGTCGTTTAAAGCGAATGTTTTCATCATAGGTTTTGGTATGAAATTTGGAAATTACGTTCAGGTAAAATTTATGATTTGATATCGATAAAATCTAATGAATAATTTCAGCTCCATCACATGAACGACATCGGGTAGCAACAAATATTTATAAAACATATATAACACGATTTGGTTGTGCCGTTCGTGATGAAATTGATAACGCCACAGCAGCTCGAATGAAAGCATTTCTCATTGGCGAGGAGGTATGACATATTTGTATATGAATAGATCAGAAGTATCTATCAATCGTCACAATAGATAATTTCCAATCATGATGAATATCTCTCGCCTAGACTATTAATTGAAAAAAAAAGCAGAACTGAATGCTAGATTTTTCTTTCGTAAACATAGAATGAGCCAGATGCATTTTATCACGGTCAAACGACTGTCTATCGTGTCTTACAACATGATTACTACGCATCATTTCTGGTGTCCAAACAATATGATGCTTTATGTCGAACTTTTAATCAAAATAATCTAGCAGATTGTATGTTTTTCTTTTATGAACTGTTTAAACATGGTTATTGATACAAATTCTTTTTGTTGCGTTTAATAGTTGATTTAAAGGAACAATTACTTGGTTGGTCAACGCCAATGACAGCAGATGAAAATTATGATGATACAGATGGTAGTAATTCGATGTTACAACAACCTGAATTAGCAACTGAAGATACATCTGAAAGTGTACCGAAACGCTTAGCTGATCTTCGAAATCAATTATCGAATAAGCAATATGCACTAACAGCTGCAAGAGAAGCATCGACATTTGACGGAACAGTTTGTATCGGTTTGATATAATTTTTTTGTTTTAAATAAGATTTCTACAATAGGTTTTGGCAATACTTGAACGTGATTGTGCCGATTTGAATCAAGAAATAAGTACACTTCAATGTTTATTAGAAAATGTTGATTTATGGTGGTCGTTTTTGGGCCAATGGCAAGTACAAATACTTTCTGACACGGTTCGTTACTCATAGGAACACAAATCAAGACCGATTGAAATGTTTATTTTTTGCTCAGATTGGAAATGGTCGATTGTCTCTCGCTGCATTAATACAAAGTCCAGTAAGTGAACAAGATCAACTTGGCTGGGTAGTGACACGAACGTTAAACGCTTGGCAACATTTTTATTTTCGATTAAAAGAAGTTCGTTTAAATTCGACTCGGAAATTAAAATCATATGAATTTATTTTCAGTTAGAACCATCGTTACCAACAATAGATTTATTTCGTACACGTCATCGTCATTTTAATCATTTACATTATGATGCGCTTTTATCCAAACAACTATCAATACAATTAGAATTATTTTTACAAGCCATACTACGCGATGAACATATGTCGTCGTTTGAATTAGTCTATCAATTTTTGAATCCATCTATTGTTGATAATGATAGAGAAATATCAAAATTAGACAATACTAAAAAGAAACAAATGAATTCAAATAAAAATATATTGTATGTAATTTTCTTATTGAATATAGTGTACTCGAAGACTTGTAGAGGATATAGAGCTGATCTTTTCGAACATGACTTTAAATTTTTCTTAACGACTTATGAGCTGTGTGAGAATATTTTATTTTGAAATCCAACAAATGATATATCTATCCGATTAAGATTCATATCGGCTACTTAGAATTATTCCACGCAAAGTGAAGCCATTACCTAAGACATACAATTTTCTAAAAGTTCAACTTGAAAAATATAATATTAAATTAATAAATTTTATATTTAGTAAAATATTTCGCTCGAACAAAGCGTCCAATGATTTATTAGAAACCGACAGGTATTAAATCTTCTATGATTCTATTGAAAAATTACCATTCTATTCTTATTTCTTCCTCAAAGCGTTCGTTTTCTCGAGGGTCGTGCTGATTCCATCGCTGAACCGTTTTATACTTTTATCGATGTTCTATTCGATGAACAACGTGGCTTACTTAAATTAATACGTATGACATTAGTTCAATTTATCCGTGTGACATATGGAAGTACAATAAATCGACAAGTTCGTCGATATATTGTTAGTTTATTTCAAGAAGAATGTATAGTCAAATATTTAATTATGCTACGAGATGTATTTTGGCCGAAAATTCCGTCTGCACCAAGACAATCTCGTACCGATGATGAAAAACGAGAACGACGACAACAAGCTAAACAACAGTTATTATCCAATATACCAGGTTATATAGAGAGAAAATTTTTATTTAAACGAACAACATATTATTTTTACTCTAGACACGATTTCTTTAATATTTGGTTTGGACAATGCAAGGTTAGGTGCAGAAAATTTATTCGAACTTTTTCAAGATATTCGCCTGAATAAACATCTTTTTTATGTAAGTCATAAAATCAAACGTTTATATTTATTGTATTTTATGCTTTTGTTTTTATTTTGTTTAGAAATTCATATTACTATTTATCACTGAAGTATTTCCTGAATGGCAGCTGAAATCCTAATTTTATTTTCATTTTGATATTTGAGTGCAATTATGATTCCAATATAAAAGCAAATGACTTTTTTTTGACAAAATATATTCGAAGTAACACCCTTTATGTCGATCAGTATTATGAATAGAACAAGAAAGTATAGCGATATGACAAACTAATTCATTTTCACCTTTGTACCAGCAGAAGTAGATTGACAAAGAAAAAAAGAACGCTGTCGAATAGGACTACCGAGAAGGTAAAAAACAGAGATAAGAACACAGTATAGATGAAAGTTGACTTTTGAAACGAAGAGATATCATGAATCTAGACAAATTTACTTTTTGAGGAGTGAATGGGCGTGGTGATAGGTGGATGTGTCTGCATTCTGCCTTGTACCAAAACCTACACTCGTGTTTCTGCTTATCTTTCTACAGAACACCATAGATGGCATTCATCATTTTGTTCTCATCATAAAAAACAGATATTGATAATAAATTGAAAAATAATATTTTCTCAACTGTTTTGTTTCGTAATTATTACAAATTACTAGTCACATTTCTTTAATTTTTCCATTATGGAATATCCTTATCACATATGAATCTTTATTTTCAAGAAAAAAGACTTCAAAAATATTTTCATCACACCAAATCCCTACTTTCTTAATGTGTTACAAATATACTTTTTCTTTTTTTATCACGAACACTTTCATCCTGTTCTTTCTGAAATGTATCCAACGGTCGTCTGCCCGAAACTTTAAATAAAAGCCATTCGGAAAACCATTGTGGTAAAAAAATATCATTAATAAGGCCAATATATTTCAAATGATATGGTAATATAATTTCCTTACGATTCCATGTAATAGCATCTAATATTTGCTCAGCAGCATAACTTGGAGAAATAATAGGAACAAGTGATTTAAATGAAACACGACTAATTAACGGATTAAACATTTTTGTTCTCATTAAATACGGACAAATACAATGCACAGATACACGTGTATTTGGTTTTGTGGCATGAATCTCAAGACGAAGTGCTCGACTAAAACCTAAACTGGCATGTTTTGACGCAACATAAGTTATTGGACCATGACAAGCATGAATACCTAGAATCAACAACAACAAAAATGAATAGAATTATTTTAGATACAAAATTTCTATACCAAGCACACTTGAAACTAGCACAATATGTCCACGATCAGCATCGAGCATGTATGGTAAAAATGCTTTAACTAACCAGATAGGTGAAAGTGAATTAACATTGAATGTACGTTCAATATCGGTATCTGATTCATTCACTAATGATCGACCACTAACAAAACCAGCATTAGCCACAAGTACTGTTACTTGTCCAAAATCATGACGAATTTTTTCGGCACAAGCATAAACTTCAGTAGAACGTGTTACATCAACATGATATATTCGTACACGACTTGAAGAATGTTTATTATGCAATGCTGATAAGCATAGTTTTTGAGTTTCACGATTACCTATGTAAGTAAGATTCAGTCTTCTTCGTTTTATTTTCTAATTAAATGGATAGTAATTGCTTACCATCATCATCGATATCCAAAAGTGCTAATGAAGCACCAGCTTTTGCAAATGCTAAAGCTATTTCTCTTCCAAGTCCGTTGGCTGAGCCACTGATAAGTACAATATTATTGTTAAAGTCATGTACAGTTGGTTGAAAACCTAACCATTGTATACAACGATAAAAGATAAGAAATATTACAGCAAATGGATAAAGTATTATATTGATTAAAAGACGTAGACAACCGAATAAATCAGCCATTGATATTGTCTAATACAAGAGTTTTATTTGAAATTAAAAAAATTCAATAGTGCGAACAAGTACGAAGTTGTTTGTTTGAATAGTCTTTGATCTTTTATGAAGTCTTTTCATCTTATCAGTAAGACAACTAAAAAAAGAACATAGGTCGTGTAAACGTGATACTCATAAGAAGAAAAAAAAGACGAATTAACAAGATATACTAGTCAAAGAAGATGTCTCTTTGTCTATTGTTTATTAAGTCAAAGTATTCAAATTCATTCTAGAAATATTATAGGAAATCCTTATGGAATACCACGAATTCTAACAATCACTGAGTCTATATAGTTTTCGTCATGAATATTTGAAACTAGTAATTTTCAAGCTGATAAATTCTATGATTAATTTATTTCGTTAATTGCGCCAAATTTTGATTGGATAACATTAGAGGGCATATTTATATGGTTTTTAAATGGCTGAGAAAAAGCAAGCAATGTTGATGAAGTTTAATTGGCAGCAACAATAAATGAGTACCGATACATAAATATATTTGTTTTCTATTTGGTCTAACTAATTCATTTATATAAATCTCGGTGCGCAGTTAGCAGCACACCTGGATTGTAGTATGATAGTTATTTCAATAATTTGTAATATAAAATTTATTGTAGATGTGCATTAACTATATGCTCGATAACACAGATGCAAACTTGACCTGGTAGCTCAGAGGTATTTACCAGTCTTTCAGACTAAATTATTTAGCCATATCAAAATCTACTTTAAATGATTCTTACTTCAACGAGGAAATTATTTGTTGCTCTAAAATAATTTTAATTTTGGCAAATAAAAAGAACATGGATTTGAAATTATTTTAAGGCACATCTCACAGATAGGTTTATCGCAGCTGATAGTTCTATGAAGTGGCTAAAACCAACAGTGTTGTTTCTATGAACAGGTTCAGTGACCAGTTTGTTTCGATTGCACTGATTCGATTCATCATGAATTAGCGATCCTATTCACTTCCTACTCGTGTTTTCATTATGTAACTATTTTTCGATGCGCAGCTCTTTAAAACGCTGACGATCAGGCACCCAGTTCTTTTTAAAAGAACTGGGTGACTGATAAAAATCTGATTCTTAGAACGAGACCTGTCACAGTTCTATTCAAGAGGGAATACACAATGAAATAGAAAAATAGAAAAACTAATAAATGCAGTTTATCTTGGATTTAGAAGAGAAGATTCTGAATGAAGCATAGAGAAATAATAAATGTATTCAATTTTTATAGGTTTCGCTTTAATAAGGAGAATTACTTCATATCCTCATAATGTTGGTGATATGTTATGAAAATTTTTTTTAAATGCCCCATAAAATGATATATAATTTGCTCATTCATATAGATAAAACTCTAGCAGGAATCGAAAATACGAAGAAATATGCTGCAAATTGCTGCAAAAAATTTGAATTCTCAGCTGTATATTTCTTTTCGTTTTTAAACCTATTTATGCGTATAAAATGTACTTGATTGAATCATACAAGATACGAAAGTCGTAATTACTAATAGTGGCTGAGAAGCTATTTAAAAAGATTACTTTTGTGATAGATCTTAGAGGAGGAGGCAAAGAGTTGACGAGTCGAAAGTTGAAAAGGCCAAGCAGATATTAGAATTCGCCAATATGGCGAGGCGGTGATGAGTGATTTCGCTGACACCTACCCGCTCTTCTCATTCTGAAACAATTATTGTCCAGAAAATTATAATACCTTTCAAGATAGGAATTGTTTTTCAAACTATTTAGCTTTTCATATAAAGACTAAGTTTCAATCAATCGAAATCTCTCTTATTTGGTTTAACTCTGTACCCTATTGACATGGAAGTCATTTATTTTCGAATTGTAAACAGCTAACAGCTATTCAAGTCTTGATTTATATTCGAAGTCGAATTAGACATCTCATGATGAAAATACAACATGCAATCGGAAGATCAATAAGCGATTGATGCACGCGTATCATAAATAAGCAGGAATCTATATACTATACTATTCATTGAAATTCCGGTCGGTTCTAGATTTTTCCACAGAGCAATCAATAATATCTGTGTATCTACCACACCCTCAACTGATAAACTTTTGTGAAACGTGTTGTATTTATGAATATTGAAAAAAAAGAAGCTGTCATTTTTATACTGATAAAAACAAAATGTTCGATCCATGAGATGTCGCTCAGTGGCAGTAATGTTTGCAATGCTTAGATACCATTAGTGTTTTATTGTCATTGATGAATACCAACCAATGTATTTCACAGTTTTCAACTACTACTACATATACTTATTCATTCATTCATTATTTACTGACACAATCGTTGGCACTCCTCTATCAAGTTCAAATTAATATTTAAATTTCTTAGATAATATCTAGCTTTAACTAGTTTCGTAAGTATTAACTTTTCATTTACTTAATGGTTGGATAGGATTTCCCGAACAAATCTTTGTAAAAAGTCACCTATATTTATTTTTAATATTTTAATTAAAAATTAAAGATAAAAAAAATTGTCTATAGACCGTTATCCTTGTTTAGAAGTTCGTCTACGTACTACAAGATCAATCGTATACACAAACAGGAGTTTCATTTTTCATGTATTTACAAAATATCACAGTTTCTTATTCTAGGAGTGGAAAAAGTATCTACTTCTACTATGCCAACAAGTTAGAATATTCTCATATTCTATTCTTTTCATCTTTATTCTCTAGGGTTTATTTCCTTTTTCTCTCTGTATCGAACTTTTTATACAGAGGTAAAATAGTTTTAAAAAGAATTTTACTTTCTTACTTTTATTGAATTTTTATCTATTTATTTTTAAGAAAAAAAATGGATGATGATATAGAAATCGAGCGTATGCTAGAAGAAAAAATGCAGGAAGACGTACAAAAAAAAGTACAAGAACAAACAATAAATAAAAATGGTGAAAAAAAGGACAAAGACAAAGATAAAGACAAGAAAAATAAAAAACATCACAAACATCATAAACATCATAAATCACATAAAAGTGAGAAAAAGCATGAACACAAACGGAGTCGATCACCAAAACGTAGTCGTTCACCAGTTGCTGAACGTCGCCATCGTACACCAACACCACCGCCAACAACATTGGCTAGTGGAAAACGACGAGATGTTAATTCTGAATTGCATCAATTAGCCAAAACAATAAGTCGTGAAAAACAACCAAAAGAAAATCCACCAGCATCGAAATCAGGTCGAAGAGAAAAATCACCTGAATTAACACCAGAAGAACGTGATCTTCGAACTGTATTTTGTAAGAATATTTTTTCCTTTGTTTTATCAAAGATATCCGAAGCACGTATTGCCGAAATTAAATTACTCAATAAAGAATCCCATGATAGAATTATTTGCACTAACAAGTTTAATTACTGACGAGCAAAAGTTCTTAGTGAAAGAATAAAACTCACCAGGGAACATAATTGAAATCCATAGAACGACTAAAACTAGATCTAGATAAGACTAAGACAAATTGAATAGAATTCGAATTCATCGATCACTGATAAAAGCATATGATAGTTTTCAATTCAATTTTGACCGAAAAGAATATATTTTTAAATAATGAAAAATAGAATATCAACCAGAGTGAACATGCTTTTTTTCATGATATTCATTAAAACTTTGAAGACAATTAAAGTCTGTATACGAAAACGTATAGTTCAAAATCATTTGTTTTGTATTTTTTCTCGGCATGCCATACTCTCTTTAGCCATTTTATTTAAACAGCTATAACTCTTCATCAGTAAGGTATGATCCTGAATATTTTCCAATTTAAATAAAATAATATATTGCATCGTCCGTAGATAAAAATGCATTTATTTATTTTTAGGCATGCAATTAGCAGCACAGATTCGTCCACGTGATCTTGAGGAATTTTTTTCTCGTGTTGGTAAAGTTCGTGATGTTCGTTTAATAACGGACCCTCGCACACGTCGATCAAAAGGTGTTGCATATGTTGAATTTCGTGATTTAGCCTCGGTTCAAGCAGCTCTTGCTTTATCTGGTGAAAAACTTCTTGGCATACCAATTATCATTAAACCATCAAATGCTGAGAAGAATCGTTTGGCAGCTCAAGCAGCTGCTGCTCAAAATTCTGCCATGACTAATGGTGTAACATCACAAGCTAACTCAATGATTCCAACTCATGGACCCATGAAATTATATGTTGGATCACTTCATTTTAATATAAGTGAAGATATGTTAGCAGGAATATTTGAACCATTTGGACGTGTTGATAGTGTTACACTTATGAAAGATCCTGATACTGGTCGTTCACGAGGATATGGTAATTGAAAAACCTATCAAAATAGAAAAATTTATTTAAGTGTTTTTGCTATTTAGGTTTTATTCAATTTGCTCATGCTGAAGATGCTAAAAAGGCAATGGAAAATTTAAATGGTTTTGAATTAGCTGGTCGACCTATGAAAGTTGGCCATGTTACTGAACGAGCCGGTGAAATTACAGGTCCCAATGGTGTTAGTTTTCCATCGTACACCACTGGCATTTCATCAGCATTTACAACATCAGCAAATCTTGACTCAGATGATCTTGATCAACGTGGTATTAATTTAGGTGCAACAGGACGTTTAGCTTTAATGGCTAAATTAAGTGAAGGTAGTGGCTTACAAATGCCCAAACATGCTATGGATGCTTTACAAGCTGCCCATATGCAAGCAGCTAGTTCGCAACATGTTCGCATACCTGAACCGCCTAATCCACAACAATTGGCAACAGTAACAGCTGTTGGTACACAATGTTTTATGCTTTCAAATATGTTTGATCCAGTTGCTGAATCAAAGAATCCTGGTTGGACAAATGAAATACGTGATGAAGTTGTTGAAGAATGTAATAAGCACGGTGGTGTTGTTCATATATATGTTGATGAAAAAAGTCCCGATGGAAATGTTTATGTTAAATGCGCAACAATAGCTAGCGGTAAATTACAATTTGCAAATAAGAATTATTTTTCTTCTTGTTGTTCTATTATACTGTTAGGATTTTGAGTAGAAGTTATTGGAGCATAATCTTCTGTGAGATCTGATCTCGAGAATGAATCAGATGTCATAGGTACAAGTTTACACTCGATTAGTGGATACGGATCAAAGGAGAATAAATTCAAATATTTGATTTTATATTGCAATTTCAATCCGAAAAGAAGTTCATCAATATGATTTCTAATCTCTTTTAGCTATCAACGCTGTCAATGCGCTTCATGGTCGATTTTTTTCCGGTCGTACTGTCATCGGCAATTATATCCCAACTCAATCTTATCATAAACTATTTCCTCAATCAGCTACAACGATTGCACCATTGAAAACTTCGCATTAAAAAATTCTACAATCGATAATGTCCAATCATTTCAGTCACAAGAAAATACGACTAAAATGACTATACATATATTTATATATAAATCCATTTACTGAAAAAGAAATTTCGTCTTCTGTATTTGTTTGTTTGTTTGTTTCTTTTTTTGTAAACCGATAAATTCGTGTGTGTTATTGGATAACAAAACAAAAAAAATAAAACAATGCCTTTTTTGTTCTATTGAAGATGGTTCGCGTAAAGCATCAAAAATCAGGACGTCGAAATTATTATCAAAATAAAAATTCCAATGTTTCTCATACTACTTCATCTTATAAAAATACAATTCAAATCGATCAGCATGGATTTTTTGTAACATTTTGTTCATCAAAAGAATTATTTGTTCGTAATGAAGTCTATAATCTATTAAATCGTTTTGCTGATCAATTGTTTGGTGCAGAATTTTCCGACGAAAAAGAAGTTGAAACAGCAGATCTTGACGATCTCGATTCAGCATTAGAAAATGAAAAAGACAAATTAAAAAGTTCAAATAAAAAAGTTCGTCGTTTTCAAATTGTGAAATCAGGTGCGAAACATTCTTTTTTTGTTATAACTACACTACCCATACTATCGATAAATAAATTAACTGAATCAATATTCGATACAACTATACAAGCAAAAGAACAACATAGTCGATATATTGAACGTTTATTACCTATTTCATTTATATGCAAAGCCTACGATGACGATCTCAGACAATTGATAATAAAAAGAAAATTTATCGATCAACTTTTATCACTTGATACTGAAAATTCTACTGTATGGTTTGATGTTCAAGCTAAAAAATCGAATAATACCCTACTGAAATCAAGTCAATTAGAAGAAATTATTATTGGCGATTTATTATCAAGAAAACCGGAAGATTTAAATGGCAAAGTATTTAAACGTGATTATAAAAAGCCTCAAATACATATATTACTGCATGTCATTAGAAATGTAATACTTATTTCAATAGTACGAAATTTTGATTTGTACAAAAAATATAATCTCTCTTCGATTAATCTTGCTGTGACAACAACAGAAGAAGGAAAACAACAGCAGCAGCAACCAACTAAGATTATATTTGAAGCAGAAGAAGAAGAAGAAGAAGATGATGGTGGTGGTGCTGACGACGATGCAGAGGGGGAGGGGGAGGAAAAAACAGATAAATAAATTTTAAAAAATTTTTCTGTAAAACAAAAAAAGCAAATATGAAATAAATAAACAGATAAAAATAGTTTGTCATTTGTTTTCATACTTTTTAACTTGATATTTAAGATTTCGTGTGACCTCGTGCGTCAAGTTATGTGACCTCGTAAAATAATTCTCTTCTTCGCTTTTTCTCGTATTGCGTTCTCTTTTTTCTCGTTCTATCCTGTAATATTATCGTCAATGGAGGGCACACAGAAGGGCAAGTGCTTTGCGATCACGCCATAGTGGTCTGCCTCTTTTGACTTATGGAGTTACATATAATGCCTACATATATTTGTAATTGTCTTACTATACACTATCTGCTATCTAGATACCGAAAAATACATTGGAATACAACAACAAATGGCATCCATGTTATTCCGTAGTGTTTCAGTTTATTCATTACGTTCATTTATATTATTTATTTTCGGTTGTACATTAGCTGTTGTTTTAATGAGTTTTCAATATGAACATAAATTATCATTATTCAATTCTCCTCGTCTCATGCTTACTTTACCTGCATTGAGTCTCGTATCCGTATGTGGTTTTGGTGCTGGTTAGTAGGAGAAAAAAGCATAGTCAATTTATTTAAACATTTTTCTTTCATTTCAATAGCTTTGGTGGGTCTTCTTTATCCCAAACTCATGTCTCCTGGCGATTACACATCTACACTTGACGATAGTGACGATACTATGCAAAAATCTCGAATTTGTAAATCATTAGTAATATTTGTTGGTATCAACCATTTATGTGCAGTAAGTTTAATCATGAAAATCAATATAAATAGATTTTATTTTATTTTTAGAAAATTCCATTTCAAAGCGATCTTCACTTTTCCATCATAGTAGTCTGTTTGTGCATAGGATTTTGGTGGTGCTTCGATAGAAGTATAGTTGCGTTTACTTTTTCAAGTGTACTCTCACTAATATTAACAATGACAACAGAAATTTTATTACGAGCTGGTGCATTAGAGTAAATATATATTTGGACGAGTTCATAAAAATATTTAGTCTTATTATTTCTTTGTTTAGATACACCAATTCTGATCTATACTTAAAAACTTGTGTACCTTGTCTAACATTTGCCGGTGCTATTCTTACTATACAAATCACAAAATTTTTATCTCAAGTATGTAATATATTTTTATCTTTTTTTTTTTTATAGTGCTTATTCTCTTTTTCATATGATTTATATCTAGAATAATCAATCATTGCCATCGAATATTCAAATTCAACAAGACCATCTACACAATGAATAAAGTAATAACTCTTTCTTCTATTGTTCTCGTTGTTTTCAGTCATTTGTCGTTTTTGAGATCACAGATAAAATTAACTTCTATGACTTGATACTTCATCTCTTCAAAAGTTCACTATTCTTTTATATTTATTATCTTTCTAATGCCTAATCTGTTACCCGATTGTAGGTTCAATTTATGTTTTATTTAATTTTGCCCGGTTTTTCTATTTTTATGGCAGTTTGTTTTTGTTTTTTTTGTAAAATGCATGGATAGGCTTTAAATGGTAGATGAAGTCTTGCTTTTTTTTCGTGTAAATTTGCTTTTAGATGAATATATTACTAAATGATTTTAAAGGCATAAAATATATACTGATAAATCTCTTTAAAAAAGAATATATTTTCAAATATTCCAACTGATTGCTTCGATAATAAGAAATCACTTTAGTTGATGGAATTTTTTTCTTCTTCTACGTATGACCTAGCCAGCAAATATAAATATCAGTATATACAGCATATACTCTCTTATTGATGAAGTGACATATTTCAACATGCTATATTTATTATCTGCAGGGGTAAAAATAGGTCTGCTTTTCTCCGATTACGTTTTACCTACAAACTCAGTTACCTTTGATATGACTTCAACATATTTTTTATACAACTAGACAGGAGTCTTATACTTTCTTGATCGTTTTAATCAAATGAAAAACCTTGTATCTTTTGTATTTCAGCATATTTATAAATAGCAGTGAAATCGGTGCAGATGCTTCTTTCTCATCGTTCGTACATTAAACGAACATTAAGGTTATTGTAATTCGATTGTCCTTTTTTTGACCCTGTCAATGATAATTTACAAAGAACATTTAGATTATGATTATCACCATTGCACTACATGAAATACCAGAACTTTGTCATATTGCATATAGTTAACGAAGTTAGGCTTAATAATTCCCATCATATGAACATAAGTCTCTAGTGAATTCGTTGATTTCCTTTGGAAGACATTTAGAAGAAAAGAAGCAAAGTTAAGATTTTATATTCATAAGAATAAAATTTTAAACATTAGAATTCAATAATGAAATGATGCATAGCTTATTGTTTTTTTTAAACAAAAACAATATATATTTTCGGATGGCTGATTGATTTCGATTATGAAATTATTCAAGATTAAATGAACCAATAATTGATTAACACTCATGAATTGCATCAGTCAATAAAACAGACTTTTGCTTTAGATTTTATCTTTGAACAGACAAGGCATACCACTTTTTTTCCTGGTTATCAGGGACTGTAGAAAGGACAAATCTTTCTGGTAATTTTATATATCACAAAAAAAAATGGTTCGATGCCATTCTTGTACAAGTGAACCAAATTTATTGGTCAAAAGTTTGTAAAGTTTCAATTTTTGAATGTTAAATCATTCGTACGACGAAAAAAGAAAAAGTCTGATAGATCGGATGTTATAATCTCATTGAACCGTTTAATGTTGGTTGAATTCATATTGTATCATTCCATGAGTTTTCATTTAATTTTTGATCCATATCATATTGATCATATATATAAATTTGAACCTTGAAATAGATTTTTATATTGTTACATTCATTTATGTTCGCTTCAATGATTTCTCGTTTCTATGTTTTCATACAGCTGAATATTTTTGATGTGATTATAGACGTTGCAAAAAAAAACGAAGAAGAAAGAATCGTAAATAAATGAATTGAATTTTTGATGTTATCGTTCGTTCAACATTGACGCAAGAGCAGAGAGTTTTTCGCTCTCTCTCTCTCTCTTTCTTTCAATGAATAACATAGAATAAAAACATTAAAACAAACGTCAGTTGAGACTAGTATCTCAATGTAATAACTGTTCTCTTTTGGACGATGACGATGATATGGACAAACGAGGGAGAACGAGGGAGAAAAGAGCGCGCACGAGAGAGAGAGAGAGAGAGAGAGAGCAGAACATTTTCTCGTTGCTCTTACGATCGCATAACTCGCAACGGCAGTAGCAGCAGGAAGCAACACACACACGCACAACATAAAAGCTCATCCCATTCGACTCACTGTTATTGTCTCCATGGTTGTACATCGTGCCGACATTCAAGTACTCTCTTCATTTAAGTGGACATAGTCACTACAAATACTTCTTGATCTCAATTTTCTTGCCAAACTTAAGCCAACAATAACAACAACGAATATAATAATAATATTACAAATATATTTTTATTTTAATATATAATTACGTATATTCTATCAACGCAAAAATGTTTTGGTCATTCGTCATTAGTCTTCTTCTCATCATTGAAACATCGTCTCTCGTTGATAATAATGGTAAGATGATTATATAGGTTATCATAGGTATTCATGCGTGAGATTGAAATCAAACGATAGCAGTATAGACATTTCAGATTTTGTTTTTTGTATAATCATGTAGTTGTGTATAGCAGTAATATCAAAATGATAATATAAAATGTAAAATTCTTGCATCGTCATAAATTCGGTGTATATATAAATATATATGTATATGGTGATGATGTAAACGACCATTTTACCATATACATACGTCGTGATAATGTTCAAGTTCAGCTGTGATTTGCATAAATCATATCATCTTTTGTATATATACATATATGATATATATATATATGCCTATCTGAAAACGCCGACCAAGATATATGTATTGATCCATCTGTAAAACTCCTGAACAATCTTAATTATCATTGCCTATTTATTGATACACTTGTTGTCGCCCACCCACTCGTTTAGATTAAGAGAAAAAAGTTGACATGTTCTCTACATCATGTACGATGCATGCAGACAATATTGCTCTTTTGATATATTGATCTTACTAGTGTTGAACTATTGTGTCGCCTGGTAGATGAGATATATATGTATATTTACCTTGAGAAAAAAGAGAAGATAAGCGATTATGTCATAGCATCATCACCAAAGATGTTAACCGGATGTTGACTAGTAGAAAAGTATCATGCATCATCTGTCTGAAATTACCGTGGACAATGGTAAATAATAGAAAGTAAATGGCATAATAAAGAGAAATTCTATTTCTAAGTAACCTATAGTTATGTAAAAAATGATTTCTTTTCCTTTCATTTTCTTCTTGTTATCTCTAAAGAGATTTATTTTATTCAAATAAAAAAAAGAAATTGTGCGCACCGCTTTTAAATAGTGCTGCTCCCAAAGTGACACCGATTTGCATTCCATTGCATACATATATATACATATATACAGGCAGACATTAGCTCATTGGGGGATGTCTGTTTCGAGTTGTGAATGAATGAAGTATATGAGCTGACTAATTTGATTGGGGATAACGCGCATCATTCAATTCTAATTCGATATTAGCGGACACAATCCGTCCGTTTTTGTCTTTGCTGCTATGCATGGCTGATGAGCTCTATATTGCACATTGTCCTGTAATACAACAAATCAATGATGACACTTGCTTTAGGGAAAACTTTTCTGCTAAAAAATATATTAGACAAAGAAAGAATAGACGCAAGAAGAAAAAAGAAATGTATAATTTTTCTTTTAGATCTAGGTGAAAATAAACCCATTGTGGAGGCTCAAAATGCTCATGTAACAGTAACTAGTGGACAAAAAACAATATTGACATGTATATTTAGTGGTGTCAATCATGAGTTATCTCTTTCATCATCGCATCAATTGATATGGATTCGACAAAGTTATGAAGCACAAAATGCAGATTCAATATTAGCACATAATCAAGATTTATTAATATCGGATCCTCGTTTAACTATTCAACGAACTGATTCTGATTATTCATTAACAATAACGAATGTTAATATTGACGATGAAGGCTTTTACGCATGTGAAGTTAATACACAACCGCCACAAAAAGCACTTGTTCATTTATATGTTCGAGGTAAAAAATTTGATCGTTTTATTCATTCCGTTCTGTTCTCGTCCTTCTTTTTTTTTGTTTGGTTTAAATGCATGATCATACTCGGCACCTGCTAGACATTAGTAGTCAAATGAGAATGAGATCTCGAAACGGAAATCATGGTTCCGACGTGATGCGCGTGTGTATGTGTTTAATGTCTATTCTAACTGTCAAAGTTAAGCATCATGCTCGAATTGAGATGATCAACATATTTCTAGCTATGATCATATATAGATATACAGTATTTATTGGAATTGTTTATAATATGCATATAAAGAAGAAGAAAAAGGAAAATGTGTGAGAGAGAGAGAGAGAATGCGAATGATTCTTCATTTAAGTGAATGCCAGACGAATCGAAGATGAAATGAAGGCTAAAGAAAATATGTATGCGTGCTGCTACTTAATGTATTTAATGTTATGGTGGTTAGTAGAATAAAGATGAAGAAAATCGGTAAAAGATGATGATCGGGAGTTCTGGCGAATATATAGCAGAAGTGAACTGAACCGAGAGAGTATGTTTATATTTGAACGAGTGATGACATTTTGTTGTCTACATATATATATATATATATATACGTATATATGAAACAGAAACAGAGACATACACATACGGAATTGCTTTTCAACGCCTCTCTTTACTTGCAAAACACGCGACGAGTATCAGTGTGTCCTTTTGTTCGTCGTCAGTCATTCTATATTGTTCGGAAGAACTTAATTTTGATGATCAGCTGATAGACATACACGCTAGTGAATGATTTGCACGATCACAATTAGGATCGTTTAGCGTGTGATTTTTATCTCGATAAATATCAATGACAAAAAAGAAAAAGCCTAAAGACAATAAAAAAAGAGTCATCATGATTTTCAAATGATAATTAGTCTTAGATTTTCCTTTTCTTCTTTTTAATGCGGTGCGAAGTACAGCATTCGTGTAGTCCGTCGCGAGTTTTTTCTTTCTTTCTTTCAAACTTGAGTACACATAAAAAGTTCTTATTAAGTGACGCGATGATCTAGAGAAGCGTAAATGCTAGAAAATCCATTCAAACTATTAATAGATATGAAAGTATCGAGATTGAACTTGTTACATCGTTTTCCCAATTTTCAATACTAGGTTTCGTTCGCCTAAAAATATCATTCGACAATGATGATTTTGAAATGTTTTATTGTTTGATAGTTTCGCGCTAATTAAAATGACGTCATCAATAGTTGTTAACCAATAGTCTACTGCTTTACACCTGATTCAAGATAATGATTCATGAATATAATTAATCGTTCAATGAAAAAAATCGTTAAAAGTTACATTTTCAAAAAGATCTTCTAGTGATGAATTTAAAAATGGTCGATTTAAGAATAGTGAATGCGAAATTTTTATTCAAAATTCCTATACGGAAATTTAAAAAAAATAATCGATTCTAATGAATCTTAAACTGGATCATTTATTTTTTAAATCTTATTCTCACTACTTTCGAATATTCGGCTCGTGTGCTTCGCACCGCATTTCGTAGTCGAGTGAAACTCGAATACCATCTAGTTCTGAATTTCAATCGTTTGAAATAGTATGTCGTCATGAATCAATAACAACACATAATTCCCATACGATCAATGGTTAAAACACAAAAAAAAAGGTTTTCTTTCCGATTCAATGTGGTTATAAGGGCTTATTTGTTTTCTGATGTCACCAATGTAGCCCATACATAAAGTAGAGAACAGAAAAGAAAGTATTCCATCATTTATTACTTCTTTCGCCATCTAATATTAAAGTTGTGCAATTTACATGAGCGCTCTTTACGAAACGTGTCATCAGCTGCCTATGAAACTCGGCGTTTATAAAGAGCTACACTCCAATGATGATGATTTGAAGCAACGCAAAATGTCACGTCGAGCAAAACAAATTCTTGCTGCAGAAGCAAGAAAAGCAGCAGAAGACGATTCATTCGTACCCGTTCTTCTTCTATCTGGACTGGACGTTAGCAAATGTACTCAAGCTCAATTGTTAGAAATTCTGACCAACTTAGATGATATCTCTGCTAAACTACCAGTGGACAAACGTTCGACATATATAGAAGAAGTCTATAATCGAATGATTCAACTCTTATCTCGGAAAGTAGATATCCCACCAAATCGAATCATGACCACAATCAAGCAATTGATGATATATCATCCAGTAATGACAATTTTAACATTTGATGATTTGAAAAAGATCGGAATTGAAATGGAAAGACGATCGTTAATTATTCATTTCGATATGAGTGGATCAATGCAGGTAGCAGGTTTTAAACCGTTAGTTCAAACAGTCATCCAACTATGTACAAAATTACAAACTCAAGGCATTGAAGTGCATATATCCTTGTTTGGTGATAGTGACCAAGAAAAAATACATACGACTATCGGTGGTCGATTACTGACATTGGATGAGTTTGCTAAAGGAAATTATGCGCCTACTGGTGGTAGTACGCAATTTTGTCCATCATTCGAACGAACAAAACAATTTCCTACTCCGTATGATGCAATCATCGTGTCTGATGGTGACTTTACTGATAATATTTCTCGATTGACCTTTCAACCGCAATGCCAAACAGTTTTCTTTGTTGCACCGCCATGGTCTCCATTGGGTGTCGAGGAGAGACATGCAAAGATGATTTCATCGAGTGTTCATCCAACTGTTGCCTATATTGGTATTGCCTCTGAAAAATATTCACAACTTGATGTTATTATCGAAGGATTTCTACGCGAGCATAGTCTTTTTGCGCGTCTATCTGGATATTTTACTATTGGTAGTTATTCTATACCATCGAATCTTCTTGCACCTTCTCAAATGATGCAAGTTTTCAATAGTTGTCTGGCTCAAGGTGAAATTCAATTGCAAGATTTAACAAAAAAAATTCTTGGTCTCTATCGATATCTTGAAGAAACAGCGAAACTCAATTTTGAACGATGTATTCGAGGTGATGAATTTCGAAATCTTATGTCATTAGTAACTCCATTGATTAAATTAGCACAGTGCCATTTGGAAACAAGTCAAGCCTGTCAACAATTGTATGGATATTTAACGAAAGTTTTGAATAATTTTGCACATGAACATCAAAAGTTAATCAAAACTTTAGCGAATGATCCCAAGGCTAAACAAGAAGTGACCAGATTTTGGGATGATGCAATGAGTTGTAGTGAACGAGAGTTGATTATCGAAGAAAACGAACGAAAATATGGACAACCAATTGGTTATTTAAATCTACGGGTAGCTAGTTTGACGTGTACGAGTGAAATGTTATCAGAAGCATTACAACAATTGAAAACAATATATGCACCAGAAGATCTCGATCTTCTATCATTGATTTTCGATATGTTATCAACGTCGAAAATTGACGAACGATCAACACTCACTGATGAAGATTCGTCTATTCTCGTTTGGCGAAAATCGGATGGAACTGTCGATCTTCTATCAATTCTACGTCAACTACCATTCTGTCTTCAACAATATCAAATTTCACGACGAATTCAACAGGATCGACCATGGACAATACAACCTTTAGCAGCGATTCGACTAGCTTGGGTTATGGATGCTTCAGGTCGAACATTTCCAGATTTTATCATACAAGCATTGCCGAGTTTAGTCGTACCAAATAAATATCTAACCGATCTCGATCAAGATGAAAATAGACCAGCATTTTGGATGAAAATTTTACGTGAACTTGCTCCAAAAATAGATGTTCCATCTGAAGTGTTACAATCAATTCAACATATACTCACTGTTCATGCTTTAAAATGTTTCTTACTTCGAATGACCGATGGTTCGGTTACATACGAGAAACAAGTCTATGAAAATGTTTTACCATTTATTGATACAGATGAATCAATGGCTTGGTGTGTCTTTATGAATAAAGACTCCGACCGAGTCAATGGTCGTACTGGTGAAATTACTGAAGTGTCAACATTTATCACAGATCCCGAGGAAGTCGATCGATGGTATAGAATAAATCTTGAAAAACGTGGTAGCATAGTGCGACCTAGATATTGCTCTTTACTTGATTATTCTAATTTTCCCAACGGTGCCATTGAACTTTACAATGCTTGTAAACGAAAAGATGTTGATATTCTCCGTGATCAATTGAAAGAACTCGGTGGTAATTCATACTCATCGGATCAAATCGATGCACACGTCTATACAATTCGTGATCGATTCAAAACGATTCCATGTGTTTTATGGGAATCGAAAGATTTAATAACGGAGACGACAGCCAGGGTTAAAACTGCTTGTCAAGGCGCTACTTTACCAACAGAAATGATTACTATAAACGTAACTCGACCGGTCATTATTGATTATCTAGTGTCACACTGTGATGATCCATTTATTGTTGGAGTACTACGTGGACTAAGTGAATATTCACGAATAGCAAGTCAACAAGCATCGGCTGGTATCAAGGAGCTTGATTATGCTATTGAATGCGGACAAAAATTCACAACAGAAACAACTACTTTGCAAATTGTACCATTTATTCATTTGGATAAACCTGGTGTTCGAGAATATCTCGAACAACAGTATAAGAAATTGACACGACGAATACGTTCAGTTAAGAATCGTCCACAATTTCAAAGTCTATCGGAATTGTTTCAACAAGCAAAACAAACAATAAAAGATGATGAAATTTTAGGTATGGCCGATCTTGAATCAATACCAACACAAATCACTACGGCGAAGCCAGTTGACAAAGCATCACGCGTAGTACTTAGTAAAGATTTATTTACTTGTCCAATTACACTCGACATTATGGAAAATCCGGCAACAACAGCGCCATGTGGACACATGTTCGATATGGATGCTATCAACAGCTATTTAAACACAACTAATATCTGTCCTATTTGTCGAACAGTTATCAGTAATGTCACTCAGAATTATGCATTCAAAAATGTTATTGAAGCATGGTTAGCCCAACAGCAAGAATAATACAATTATATTTATTCTCGACAGTTTTTAGTATACACATATTGATTTTAATAAATATATACTAATTTTAAAGTGTTTGTATTAAATTTTAATTTCTTGACTGTAAAATATAAGAAAAAATAAATGTGAATGAAGAGAAGATAATATGAAATGCATGTACAGGAAAAATTATTGGTGGCTACCCAACGAATATATTATATATAGTCAGGAATTCTTTACAATAAATGACTTGTATATAGTAGATACATTACTATCCAATTGAAACAATTATTATTCTATTTCTCTATCATCTTTCTACTTAAAACGTCATCTACTTTTTTTGAAACTTTTACATCTATCAAAAAATATAGACAACTCGTTTCGTTTCATCTACTGAATGGGTGAATCACATTGCATCAGAAAAGCATTGTTTTCCTCGACGAATAAACCATTGATACACACAATGCAATATATGAAACGTGCGATTGGTGTAAAATTATTCACATGAAAATTTCTTTTGTACATAAATATTATCTTGTTCATTTTAGAACTGTAACTATTTAGGCATGAGTAAGTCAGTTGATCATGAATTAAATTCAACGATGGCATTGACTCGAACTAGTTCGAAAGTATCGAAATCATTTGTTTATGAAGATTTAATGTTTCATAGCCAAACGATGCAACATCAAATGAATACAATGACAAAATTCCTTGATGGTCAATGTAAAAATGACAAGCAACTACGAAAAGAATTGAAATCACATTCATTGAAATTTATTGATCCTTATGGAAATCTAACAATACATGAATGCTTCGATCATGAAATGGTCAATACAATATTCAACAAGTACAAGAAAGATTATGTTCCGAAATATTTACAAAAATGGATAAAAATTGGAAAAATAAATCAAAATATTATTTCACCATTCGAAGACCATGAATTGACATTGTCCGTATCCAACTATACTGATGATTATCAATTTAGTACCTATGGTGAACTGAATATTTCGATAGCCTATGGCGAAAATGCACCATTACAAAAACTTTTACTTCGTGTTCTTCTTACTGATAGTATAGAAAAAATCAAAATGCAAATTCAAGAACTTGAAAAGATTAAAAATCTAGAATTAAAATCGTGTATATTAAATCAACATGGTCTATCGAATGAACAGTGCTGGAGTCAAAGTCAATTACTGAATTTAAATGATACTGTCTTGTCGCGCAAATTATATGCAGATAATTGTGCTATCATGGCAACAGTTTTGGAAGAAAAAGTAAATTTTGATATTGTTCCCTTTCACTTTACAAAATTTTTCTTTTTTTCCACAGATTGATAATCAACGTTTTGTGGAACTCACATATATTTTCGAAGAAAATGGTGAGTGTAAGTTTAAAGGCGACATTTTTGCGGCTCCCCACCCCCCCCCTCCCGTNTGGTTAACAACTATTGATGACGTCATTTTAATTAGCGCGAAACTATCAAACAATAAAACATTTCAAAATCATCATTGTCGAATGATATTTTTAGGCGAACGAAACCTAGTATTGAAAATTGGGGAAAGGATGTAACAAGTTCAATCTCGATACCTTCATATCTATTAATGGTTTGAATGGATTTTCTAGCATTTACGGTTCTTTAGATCACCGCGTCGCTTAATAAGAACTTTTTTATGCCTACTCACAAGTTTGAAAGAAAGAAAAAACTAGATGGTATTCAAGTTTCACTCGAATACAAAATGCGATGCGAAGCTCGAATCGGATCTTCACGAAAAATCTTCAATTCAGAGAAATCTTGAATACTTTTTTTGTCGACATGATGAAATTCATCACTGAGAAAACTCCATTCTTATTTTGCGATACATTCTTAAGGATCGATTTCGATTGATCGATTAATTATCTCCATGATTCCTTATCTTAGATCAACTGTAAATGAATAGACTATAGTGGCTAACATATGTTGATGACGTTGTAACGATAAATAATAAGAACCCTGTTTCGGGATTGATATATTAAGACAAACTAGATAGAGGTGAAGTAGCTTACAGCCACTCATGGCAATGATGTTTATTCGCTTCTTCACATATCCAGAGTGTCCCAACTTCATACGTAACAGACGTATATATAGGAGAGAGATAGAAGAGAGACAGGGGGGAGAGATATTAGAACAATGGAAAGAGAATGAAGGAGAATCATCGAAGCGTGCCATCAATATCGGCACAGACGCCACTTTAATTATCTCTTGATAAATTTCTTTCATTTTCGTCATTTTGGAAGCACATTTATGAAAGAACGGAACGTCAGTTTAAAGATTAGAAAACAGATGTTCTAAGTTCGATCTTGATACTGCTCAAGAAAAAACCAATAAGAAATCGATTTTTATTATTTTG